TGTGCAGAAAGGTTAATTTCAAAGAAATACATATCCTTAATGAGAAGTCATTACTTGATGACTTCAAGGCCAAGCAAATGTTTATCCCAAGTCCTCAAATTACAAACTATCTCTTTAATGCTTGGCCATTAATTTCCAACCAAGGGAAGTGGAGAATTGATTTTCCTCCAGAATAGAAATCAGATTAACTCTACAAGAGGAAAAAAGTTATCCAAATAGAAACAGCCCTGTTTCTCTCCTCTTTCTTAAAAGCTTTGGTGCTTACCAACATTTTTTAATCCCTTCTGAAGACTTGTAGGTAATAGACACACTGTGGAAAGGGCAGATGTATCATAGACTTTCACAGCTGGAAGTGAAGTTAGAAATCTAGTCCTACTCCCTCACGTTACAGTTTGGGAAACAGAGGCAGAAGGTGGTGATATGATTTGGCTAACAGTACATGGCAGAGAAGGCACTGGCACCCACCTCCTTGACTCCCAGGTGTCATGGAGACACTATTTCCAGCAGTGAGGATCTAAGTGAGCTCCCTAGTAGCTTTTGATTGCTACCACCCAAGGCTCCCCTCCAGTCTAGAACCCTGGTTCTGTAACTCTTCCCTGGTGTGATCTACAAGGAGGTTATGTGGTTGTTCAGTCCTATTTTCTCCCTTTTTCTCTACACTGCACCCTTTCTTGAGGAATCACTCCATGTGATACTGATAGGGCTTAAAATCGCTGGGCTCATACTAGGGTGGGTACACTACCCGGACCAGCCAGTTCTGGCACTCCACCTCCCTGGTACAGACCTTGATCAGATAGTGGGCATGAGACCTAAATGAAGCCAGTTGTCTTTATGAACAATATATAGACATTGTGAGAGGGTCTCTCTTCCCTTTGTATATCACAAGTAGTGGAGATGTAGGCTTTGTGCTGACAAAGCCTACATCTCACCACATAAAGAGAACCTGCTTGAAAAGATGTCAACACAACATGCTTAATTAATGTACCCATTATAATGTCTATATTCCGCTTTTATGGAAGAAGCCAGGTCTCTGCAGACTAATGGGGAGGTGGGGCAGGGGAGCAAAATCAAAATCAAAACTCAGGTTTTTGTTATACAGTAGCAGTGTTCCTTACTTTGGGGAAACCCTGTTCTGTGGGAAAAAGATGGGCTCACTAGGCTGAGACCTGGATTGGAATCCATTTTCCACTGCTTACGAGCTGTGCTTGGCAAATGTAATTATTTAGCGCCCTGAGCTGATGTGAAGATTGAGATCCAAATACATGATTCAGTGCCCAGCTCGTGAATGTCAGATCTTTTCAACCAGCAGCAGTACCTACCAGGAAAGGCCTGTTAAAACTGATCAAACAATGTACCAGAAAAAGTGGAAAGCGGCCGGGCGCGGTGGCTCAAGCCTGTAGTCCCAGCACTTTGGGAGGCCGAGGCGGGTGGATCACAAGGTCAAGAGATCGAGACCATCTTGGTCAACAAGGTGAAACCCTGTTTCTACTAAAAATACAAAAAAAAAAAATTAGCTGGGCATGGTGGCGTGTGCCTGTAATCCCAGCTACTCAGGAGGCTGAGGCAGGAGAATTGCCTGAACTCAGGAGGCGGAGGTTGCGGTGAGCCGTGATTGTGCCATTGCACTCCAGCCTGGGTAACAAGAGCAAAACTCCGTCTCAAAAAAAAAAAAAAAAAAAAGTGGAAAGCGAATTTGCTTTTTCTCTGTAATCTACATTTGTTTAAAAGATTTGGGACATTTATCCATAGATCAAATAGTTACGTGTCTGTGCACAGTCCCTCTTATGCTTATTTATACAATTATTTGAAGATGCTGACATCTTCAGCATGTGATGAATATCCCTGCAGATTAATCAGAGGTTACACTTGGGGATGCTGCTACCACGGCAATGGAAGAACCAAAGGGGTGGGGGGGAGTGTGTGTGTGTGTGTGTACATGTGCATACACTATTGGCTGAAACTTCATGACAATTCCAAATTGTCATGTGTGCAACTCCCTGTGGCACAGGAGTCAACAAATGGCTTCACAGTCATTCTTAGGTGAATCCAAATATGGCCAGGAGTTAACTGGTTATCAAAAATGTGCTAACCAGTCATCATCCCTCCCCCATCCCCACTGTTCTTGAGAGAGCGTCTCTGTCGCCCAGGCTGGAGTACAGTGGTGTGATCACAGCTCACTGCAGCCTCCACCTCCTAAGCGCAAGGGATCCTCTCCCTCAGCCTCCTGAGTAGCTGGAACTATAGGCATGTGCCACCACGCCTGGCTAATGAAAAACAAAAATCATTTTCTAGTGATGCGGTTTCACTATGTTGCACAAACTGGTCTTGAACTCCTGGGCTCAAGTGATCCTCCTGCCTTGGCCTCACAAAGTGTTGTGATACAGGCATGAGCCATTGAAGCACATCTGATCGCCAGGGATCCCATGACATCTTCCTATCCTCCAAGATACGTGAAAATTTTCTGAATCCAAAGAATACATAGGCTCGCTGGACTCTCAAAAGTTGGATATAGAGCAGTTCTGTCACCAACTTTTTCCTGCCCCACACTGTTTAAATGAATAACTACCTTCATTGACTGTATCTCTGATTACACTTATTCTCAAGAGCAGCCTAAGGGTACATCCATCTCACCAAACCCTAAGGCTGGTATAAAGGGAGAAGAGGGCCAGACTCTGGTACATTTCCTGGCCAACACCTGGCCTCACCCACTTGCTTACCTCACATTCCCTCCCTTGTTTTAAAATTAAGTAGGTTCTTTAAAAAAGCACAAAACATAAAAAGTAAATTGAACAGACCTAGGACTCAGAAAGCATGACTGGTCACTATATATGAAGTAATGACAAGGGAAGAAAATACAGCTCTAACTTTCCAAAATGTCACAACGAGTTGTATGAGCTACGATACCTTTATGGAAGAATAGCCTTCAACAGAGGTTCCTGACTTGTGCAGGCATATACTGTAATGTCATCCATGTTGAAAACATTAAAGATAGAATTATTTACAAAATCAAATTGACATTTTTCTCCATTTTTAAAAAAAGAAAACTTCTTAAAAGTTGTTTTTCTCTGAAGAAAAACTACTTTCTTTCTCTAATTGCCTTTTATCTTCATACTTCAGAGACAAAAGCAATTTGGGTTTGGCTCATCTTACTTCATTTATATGAAACTTTTCTAAGATTATAAGCCACATAGAGAAATAGTTGCAAGTAGAAAAAAAAATACCAAAACGTACTGAAAAAGGAGAGAAGAGATGCTCTACCAGTGGCAAGTAGTTTAATACACTCATACTCTTACATACATCTTTGGGGTTGGCTAGGGCTCCACTGCCTAATCTTATTTCTCATCTTTTGGAAACTAGTTATTTATTTATTTATTTTTTTGGTAGAATGATGCCGAATATGCCACTGTCATGTCAGGATAAACATGCAACCACAAAACAAATTCTAACTATACGAGCGATTAATTAAAAAAAAATACTTGAGGCTGAGTGCAGTGGCTCATGCCTGTAATCCCAACGTTTTGGGAGGCTGAGGTGGGTGGATCACAAGGACAGGAACTCAAGACCATCCTGGCTAACACAGTGAAACCCTGTCTCTAAAAATACAAAAAATTAGGCATGGTGGCACGCATCTGTAGTTTCAACTATTCAGGAGGCTGAGGCAGGATAACTGCTTGAACCCAGGAGGTGGAGGTTGCAGTGAGCTGAGATCGCGACATTGCACTCCAGACTGGGTAACAGAACAAGACTCCATCTCAAAAAAACAAAACAAAACAAAAAAACTTGAAGCCAGACCACTCTGCAGATGGAGTCTTGGGTGGGCTGATACTACAGTTCCGGGTCAAATCCAGAGTGTCAAGTTGTCACTTCAATGAGTAGTGGAACTGACTCACATTATCAAACGTATAGTAAACTAATGAGCTAGGTGATGATATGTACATTTATAAGTCTAGATAGTCCATTCCTGAGACTTTCACATATGTACATGCTATTAAAATACCCTTTTTTTAAGTCACAAAACTATTCTGGGCTATAAAACTGAGTTTTGTTTTTTTTTTCTTTTTTGAGACAGGGTCTCTTCACCCAGGCTGGAGTGAAGTGACACAATCAGTTTACTGCAGCCTTGACCTCTGCAGCACAAAGGAACCTCCTGCCTTGGCCTCCCAAGTAGCTGGGACCACAGGCAAGCACCACCACATCGGGCTAATTTTTTTCATTTTTAGTAGAGACATGGTATCACTATGTTGCCCAGTATAGTCTTGAACTCCTGGGCTCAAGTGATCCTCTTGCCTCTCCTCCCAAAGTGCTGGGATTACAGGTATGAGCCCCTGCACCCAGCCTAGATAATTTTTTAAATGTAGCATTTATTTATTGAGTAGGGAATCTTGGCAAATAGAATTAAGAGGTTCTTGCAAAACTATTTCACTCAGGCTGAAGAAAATTGACATAACTTATTCCACAGTGTTTATTTTCTAGCTTTTTAACCCTTTTAAGGAATATTGCATAAACTATGAAAATTATAATCTCCAGATTCTTCAGGGACCATTTTTGTTGTTGTTGTTGTTTACCACACTATTCTTAAGACAAATGATAATAAAATCACTTGACAGGAAAACTGGGTACAAAATGTGTGGCTTTGATTCAGGAGGCTGACTGAAATTAAAGTTTTCTTTCTGAACTTAAACCTCAAAGCTATAGATAATTTAAACAAAGATAGGTGAAAAAATTTCTAGCTATAAAATGAACATAATTTAGTTTTAAAACTCAAACAGAATATTTAAAACATTTACAAATAGAAAAAGCTCAATGCATTCTACAGAATAAAAACGTCCAGTCTTTTCTAGATACTCAAAGCCAGGGAGCCCATTTTATTAGCATCTGTTAAAACCCATGCAGCAGCTTGCAGATGTAGTTATTTACTCAGGAATAGAGTGAAGCCTAAGACACAAAACATAAACTAAATTGTAAGGAGCTATTTAAAAAAAGACTATCTAGACATAAAGTAGGATTACACACTTTAATCTGATTGACATGGAGGAAGTAGGGAGGACATGAAAGAAATTTAGTTTTAGCTCTGCTTTATGTATAACCAGATGCTCCTTTTCTAAAAAGTATATTGAGGTTTTAGAAAACACATTTATCAGAATACTTCCGGAAACCATACTATGTGTAATCCAGGAAATACACTATTTGCAGAATAGGAAAATCATCACTGGCAACAAAAGATTAAAACAAAAATAAAGCACCAGGGTTCTGAGCAGTTCTAAGGTTAAGTATATCTGCAGAAATAGTGTAAATGCTCTTGACTGGCTGCTACGAAACATGCTAACGAGGACTGGTCCATGTCTTACAATTTTTTTTTCTTTAACATGTTTCTTTGGAAAAATGGCAATATTGAGTGGAAGAGAAGCTGTCTTTTTAGACACCCAGCTTATTGGCCTGGGTGAGAACAACTTTGAGAACGGGCATGAAAGCAGAGGTCTCACTGAAGTTGCTGGTGCTAACTATGTGGGTATGCATGGTCAATCCTTCTGAGTAGTTTCGAGTTTCAATGCTCCTTGCAATGTTGTGTAAACCACTGGTGATTGTTGGTGAAAGCTGAAACAAAGATAGAACCAAGAGAAAGAATTAAATTAAGAGAGAATTTCCCATGAGATCCTCCACAAACATTAAACCCAGATATGTAAGCAGAATTTGAAACAAACATTATAAAAATGTATAAATCATTTAACATTTCTAGTAATCGTTTCTTAAACCAAGCAATAGTTATCAGGTAGAACCATGACAAAATGATTTACACAAAGAAGTTATCTATGAATTATACACGTATAAGCCACGTATTTTCTTATAGAAAAGCAGCCCGATTTCCTTTCCAAACTAAAATGCTAATGTCTCTCTCCACTTAAGAGAGCCTCAGACCTTTAAAAAAGTCTCCTATGCACATAAAGGAGATTAAAGATTCTCAATCATAATATTTCAAAATAAGGGCCCAAATTTACTAACCTTAACTGCTTTTTATAATCGAGTCATCTCTTAAAACTATAAAACCTGTAATTTTTTGCTATGTCATTACTTGGCATAGGTGTCCATACTTTACAGAAGATTTTATTTTGATTTATTTTATTTTTTGAAATGAAGTCTTGCTCTGTCACCTGGGCTGGAGTGCAGTGGCATGATCTCGGCTCATTGAAACCTCTGCCTCCCAAGTTCAAGCGATTCTCCGGCCTCCTGAGTAGCTGGGTCTACAGGTGTGCACCACCATGCCCAGCTAATTTTTGTATTTTTAGTAGAGACACAGTTTCACCTGTTGGCCAGGCTGGACTCAAACTCCTGACTTCAGGTGATCTGCCCATCTCAGCCTCCCAAAGTGCTGGGATTACAGGTGTGAACCACCACGCCTGGCCTATTTTGATCTCATTTTTAAAAGTTTTAATATACATTCATCTAGATGTATTTGCTAATTGTATCTTTTTTTGGGGGGAGATGGGGTCTTGCTATGTTGCCCAGGCTGGTCTCAAACTCTTGGGCTCCAGTGATCCTCCCATATCAGCCTCCTAAGCAGCTGGGATTACAGGTGTGTCCCACTGTGCCCAGCGAAAAGACTTTACTTTGGATTGGTCCAAGGACCACATTACTTCCACTGTTACATCAATTTTCTTTAGTTTGATTCTTATTGGAAAAGTGGTTATTTTCATCTGATGAACTGGGTGTGGGGAATGGGATACAGGAATGCTGAAATGGGAACAATAAAAAGAAAGTCCCACTTCTTTTTTCCTCTCCTAGTGCTTTCATTTATAAAACAAGACAATTTTAGAGAGGAAATGGTGAGATGGGAATAAGAGAACAAACACAGTGAGCTGACTCCTTTTTCCTGGCTATCTTCATGGTTGCAGTATATTACCCTGTTCATCTTGTGGCTACATTTTGCTTTGCTTTTGTATAATGGCTATCCTAAAATAAAAGGATCAAGAGTCTTAGACTATGAGAAAGATTATAGATTTAGTCCCTGGAAAACAGAGTATCTGCCTACTCTTTGATTTCTTAATACTGGGCCATATTAAAGGAACAGCAGAAGGTCAGTTACCTTATGGTCAACACAGGCCAGTTTGTATATATACTCTGTTACAAGAAAGGTTAAAATTTATCTCTCACCCCACACACTCAAACTCACACCTACACACACAGCCATATCCCCTTATCCCCAATGAGCAGTATTTATGATTCAGACACAGCAAAGCCCATTCTCTAACTGTCATGACAACTTTGCCCCAAGCATACTAAACGGGAGTGCTGATAAGACACCTGTTTTACTAGTAACTAGGAATAAATGGTTATCATAAATCCTTTTCCTCCAAAACTTACTGTCTGTTCCCTAAGTTTATCATACAGAAACTCCAAACGTTTGCTGGCATCATCTAGCTTCCTCCTGGTTTGCTGCAGGAAAGAAAAAGCAGATGTTATACTGGAACATTAACTTTTATTGTAAGAACTTGCCCTATTTCATTGCACTAAACCTTATACTTAAGATGTTGAATTGGGCCGGGCGCGGTGGCTCAAGCCTGTAATCCCAGCACTTTGGGAGGCCGAGGCGGGTGGATCACAAGGTCGAGAGATCGAGACCATCCTGGTCAACATGGTGAAACCCCGTCTCTACTAAAAATACAAAAAATTAGCTGGGCACGGTGGTGCGTGCCTGTAATCCCAGCTACTCGGGAGGCTGAGGCAGGAGAATTGCCTGAACCCAGGAGGCGGAGGTTGCGGTGAGCCGAGATCGCGCCATTGCACCCCAGCCTGGGTAACAAGAGCGAAACTCCGTCTCAAAAAAAAAAAAAAAAAAAAAAAAAAAAAAGATGTTGAATGGCTTCATTTTATAAAGAAATGGAGACACCTACAACTAAGAAACTTGAACAGTGAACAGAGATCCATCATCTATCAAGGGTGGTGGTGGGAGGAGAGTGGGATGAGGAGAGGATGAGACTTCCTTCCAGTGTATGAAACGGAATACTGATTGGATTTCATGGGAACTACACACTCACTTGATAAGGTATACATGCATGTTTGCTTGCACTATATTCACAAGCATCAGGAGGCAGCAGTGGGTCAGTGTAGCACAGAAAAGAAGGGCTAAGTACAGTTATTGAAGATTATGGGCACTAGAAGGCAAACATATAGGTGAACTGTGGAACCTTGTTTTAACCTTTCAAAAATACTACTTGAACACTTAGTTACATTTGTTTAATCCTGCCTTTCTCTAAGCCTTTAAAGCATCAAGAAAAAAAGGAAGCTATCTTTTGGCAACTAAAGATTACTGAGGGAAGTAGTGAAACACATTATTAAGCCTTTTTTCCCCTCTCTACTGTAGTACTGTAAGTATAGTCAACGAAACTATTCTAAAACTAAAACTAACAGTTTTAAAATTACAACATGAGTAACTTAATGATCTACATTACATCACAGACTTATGTTAGTTCAATATTTATTGACTGCTTACTATGTGCTATACCACGGACAAAGTTTTGTATGTCATGCAGCTCATATCCCAGCAGGTGAGAAAAAATACTAAATGAACAATATATTGCATGTCAGATGGTGATAACTGCTATGAAGAAAAGTTAATAGGGGGAAGGGGGCTAAACATGTTGGGAATTGTGGGTAGTAAAGAAAGTCCCTGATGGCTAATGTGACATTTGACCAGAGGCCTTGAACTTGGGAGGAAACAAACAATGCAGACATGTGGAGGAAGAGTTCCACGCAGAAGGAGCAGCAAGTATAAAGTCCCTGATGCTGAAGTGCTCTTGGTGTGTTCAAGGAAGGAATACCAGTGTGCTTCAAGAAGAGAAAGAAAGAGACAGGCCATCAAGAATGCTACATATCAAGTGGTGTGGCAATTGTGCGCTGTTTAGACATGAAGTGAAAATATGATAAATCCATGCTATAAAAACTAATACAACTATTGACTAAAATAAACTTTTGTGGAAAGGAATCCTTATAATCCTTGCTCAAAGTTAACCTTATCTATCTACAAATAGGAGCTCTACCCCAAGGGGGCGTGGGCAGCCGGGCAGGTTATTAGAACTTCTTCCCCAACTAATTACAGGAATTACAGGAACATTTTGTTTTTTGTGGTTCTCTCCTACCCAGAGCTCCTGGGTATCCAGGAGGAAGAGAGTATCATGACCAAGAGAAGGGTAAATTAAAAAAATGTATTGAGTTGGGCCATGTATTATGTGTCTTCCCAACCTCTCTATACTGACTCACGCCTGAAGAATTGGCATTTTGTCATTCTTATTCAGATGCTTCCATGTTTGAATGACTATGGCCTGTCTATTTAGGAGTATGCATAGGGGCTAGGATGCATCTGGTTATCAGCTTGTCCACTCTCTTGTTTCCACCTTGGTCTTTCCATTGCTCCCAGAATGTCAGGCACTAAGGTTTATGTTAACTGCTTTCCTGACACTTTCAGTACAGAGAATGGCTTTCCACAAAGCCACTGATCAGCAGAAGACTGCACATATTAATACTCAGTGTCTGATGAACAATAAGAAGTTGTTTTTTCATGCAGACAAGTAGCCGATGATTAAATAAATATATTCAATATGTGCTGGTAGAAAATGAAATTTCACTTAAGACTGGCTTTGTAGAACTTTTGTCATTGCAATACATGGGTATCCTAAGTAAACTAAGTAAACTCAGTTGCTTTAAATATAAATATGCCTATGATACCTAAAACATTTAACTATCTTTAATATCTCTGCAAAGCTTTAGAAGGTATCTATCTACTTTTAACAGTTTCAATATAAGCTCGAAGGAAATCCCAAATGTGAGTTCGTGCATAGCACCATTATGTTCTATTTATGTGCCAAATACAGTTTTGTTGATGAGATGCAGTATAGCTTGACGGTTGAGAGCATGAATTCTGGAGCCAGACTGTCTGGGTTTGAATGCTGGCTCTGACCTTAAGTGTTACTTAACTGCTCTTTGCCTTAATTTTCTCAACTGTAAAATAAAAATGACAAATCTATCTGCCATGGGTTATTGTGAAGATTAAGTACATTTATATATTTAAAAAATATATTTCTATATATAATGCAAACTATATAAGTGCTAGCTTTATTACTTTTGTACAAACTTTTTAGAAATATACTTTGTAGGACTTTAAGCAATAATTATAGAAGAACTCCATAAAGGATTATTTTATTTTATTTATTTATTTTGAGATGAAATCTCTCCATCATCCAGGTTGGAGTGCAGTGGCATGATCTTGGCTTATTATAACCTCTGCCTTCCGGATTTAAGCAATTCTTCTGCCTCAGCCTCCCAAGTAGCCGGGACTACAGGTGTACTCTACCACACCTGGCTAATTTTTTGTACTTTTAGTAGAGAGAGGGTTTTGCTATATTGGCCAGGATGGTTTTGAACTCCAGGGCTTCAAGTGATTCTCCTGCTTCAGCCTCCCAAAGTGCTGGGATTACAGGCATGAACTGCCACGCCTGCCCAAGGATTCTTTTAATTAAGCAAAATATGATTTAAAAAAATACGTATACATACAGGGTCTGTGGCTGAAGAAAGGCAGCGCTGAATAAGATCCTCAAATGTGGTCTTTAGAATGAGGTGCTCATCTGGAATAGGTTTCTTGGTAATTTTTTCTGTTGGCAAAGACTGCACATGCTGGAAGAAACACATCAAAAAATGATCAGAAATGACCAGAAGGTACCTTATATATACAATCCTGAATTTATGTGATAAACAGAAACAACAGCCTTGTAGACAGACCTATTCAAAATCAAATTAAAATGTAATGTGTGAAATCACTTAGGATAAGTAAAAATAAAAACCAGGTATCTAGTACAAAGTGTAGAAGCTTCTCCTAAAGTTTGGATTTTCATATGCAGGACTGGATACAAAGTAGTTGATTGATTAGGTAACATATCTTGGTCAAAATTGTATGTAACTTATGGAAAATAAATACGTGCTGGCAGAATAAAAACAAGGCATTGGAAAACACACTTGGCTGATTAGAATGGTGCTTGCTCTGCTTGTTGGCTCAATTTCATGTATCCTGGCATTCTTCTATTCTTTGTTTTACCCTTAGAGGTTGTTAACTGGGCTGTGATCAAAACTGCAAGATTAAGCCAAAGAAGAGAAGACATCCGATGCTGCTGAGTATACAGATGAAAGAACAAAGAAGAAATGTTTAAGTTTTATTAGTTTATTCTTTCACTCATTCAAAAAATATTAGGCAACTATGTACAGGCACTGGCTATGTACTACTGGTGAGCCAATACAGAAATGACCTCAGCTCTCAGGGAGTTTACAGGCTAATGGAAGAGGCACAGTTTAAAAACATCATATAATGTATGTAAGATAGCACGTGTAGTACGTTAACACTTAGTGGAACCAAAAGATGCTATAACTGGGATTTGACTGAAGGGAAGGGAAGGCTCTCTTCAGGAAATTTTACTGGAAGGACAAAAAGGAGTTGAACAGTTAAGTGAGAAAAAAAGAGCATCCCAGACAAAAGGAATAACTTGTACAAAAGAAGGATCATGGTACAAGGGAGCTAAAAGAAGGCCAATATAGCTGGAGCAGAGAGAGAACAACGAGTATGAGCTGAGACCTTCCAGACAATGCTGAATGTTTTGGTCTTCATCCTGAGAGCCATGGGAAGATGTAATGTTTTAGGCAAAGAGGAAAAAAGGCCATATTAGAGATGGATCAAAGTAGCTATGAGCAGACCAATTAGGATTAGGCAGACCAATTCCTGCACTGATGAAGATTAGAGATGAAGGTAGTATGGACCAGAGTAGAAATGTGGAGAAGAAAGGATCCAAAAAATATTCCGGAGTAATATCAACAAGATTTGGGAAGACAGATTTAAAACAGAAGTTAAAGGGAAAAGTGTATAAAGATGATCTCCAGGTTTTTGCCTGGATTCCACAGAAAAGATTATGGTGCCACTCACTAAAAATAGGAAACAATGAAAGATTACTAAGTTTCACTGGAGGAAGTATGAATTAGGTTTTGGACATGCTGAGGTTGAAGTGCCTCCAAGACAGCGAAGTAGGCAGGCAGCTGGGTATATGGCCTGGCTGAACAGTGGAACACTGTGTATCTCTCTCTTTTGATGGTAACTAAGGTTCAGGTCTAGGTGAGTACAGCATGAGAACCTAGGTCTAAACAAAGAAAAGTGGCTGAGGAGCTTCCCAAAATAACATAGGCTTGTAATCATTTTTTTTAAAACAAAGCTCTGTAATTTAATTTTTATTTTTTCAGAAAGAACCATGTCTTCTCATCTTTGTCAGAATGTTTTTATAATGCAACTTTTAATGTTTAAAAATTCCTTAGACATATCATCTCTAAACAGTAACACATACTCTTGTGACAAGATATATAATCTTTATAAATTCAACTTCAATGAGTCAAAGACAGAAACAGACAGTAGAACTAGTTTTTTACTTGGGCAGGAGTTTGTTTCATCTTTTTATATTGAACTTTGGTCTAAGCTCTTTAGTTTTCATGAACAGATCAAAATACTTAACTCTATGTCTAAGTGTGTTATACAGAAATGTGTTAGATTTTTCGACATGCAGGACTTTGCCAACTGGCTGTCTGTGTGTGAGTAAAATGTTTATCTGAAGATAAAGATGTATTAGTAGCTTTTCTACATATACATAAAAATATATAACTCACTACATTTTTATTTTCTATTTTAAAGAGAAAAATCTTTGGAAACAGCTTTTGCTTAGCAAACTCAAATGCAGAGATGATTCATCTGACTTTAAATTATGGCTATTGACTAAGCCAACTTATAGTAAACAAACACTCTCAAATGTATAACCTTCTTCTAGAGAAGTTTGTATATGGCCATGTAGTTGAAAAATAATACACATATATGATCAATCTTAAAACAAAAGTTACTATTTTTTGTTTAGATTATCTAGATATTTAGTAATAATCATGTAATCATAAAAGTTAACATAGTAAAGAAAATATACTGAAACACAGCCATCTTCCCATTCTGCTTCTACAGATTTACTGTTACCTGGAAGGTATTTCCAATAGGAGCCCCTGGGGCACCTTCAATATTGGGCTTTGAAAAAGATGGTGGCATGCCTGTTTGACCAAGAGGTTGCTGTATGCCATGGAAGGGCTGGCCACCTGGAAGATGTGGCTGTGGGAATGAAGACTGGCTTGACAGTGGTACTGGAGCTGAAGGCTGTTGCTGCAGCATCTGTGACTGAGGGTCACCCAGCGGGTTCATGATTGGTGATGTGATGGGGACAGGAGGCATGAAGTTTTCAGGCATCTGTTAAAAGATGGAAATAAAAGACACCAAGAGTAAGAATAAAAAGGATAGCAACATTTCCTCAGCTTAAAATAAGGGAGTTAGGATATATTATGGCTACACTAATTTTTTAATAGTAGAATACTTTTTCAAATGAAATTTTATGCAGAATAAAAAGAGTAAAATATAAAAATAGAGCTGATTGGCCAGGCTCACACATGTAATCCCAGCACTTTGGGAGGCCGAGGCAGGCAAATCATAAGGTCAAGAGATCAAGACCATCCTGGTCAACATGGTGAAACCCCGTCTCTACTAAAAATACAAAAATTAGCTGGGTGTGGTGGCATGCATCTGTAGTCCCAGCTATTTGGGAGGCTGAGGCAGGAGAATCGCTTGAACCTTGGAAGTGGAGGTTGCAGTGAGCTGAGATCGTGCCACGGCACTCCAGCCTGGTGACAGAGCAAGACTCTGTCTCAAAAGGAAAAAAAAAAACACAGCTGATTTGGCTAAGAGGGGTAGAGAGCTCAAACCTGGAACTTCTTTGTCTCCCTTTGCCCTCCTATACTTACCCCCAATAAAAGGGAGTTAAAACCATGGCATTTTTGAAAGAGGGTATCAGGTCTGGAGAACTATATGTAGCAATACTGGAATCAGAGGTGCCAAGTATGTATGTGCGTGTGTGTGCACATGTGTTTAGTATGATCAGAATGTAATACCTAAGTAGACATTATTTGGCAATCCTATCACACTAAAAGTACTAAATTAAGATTCTGATTAATACTAACCCAACTTTTGGGATTCTTTCCTCATTTAATGTCTCCTAATTTCATATTATGGCCTCTCATTAGTATATTTGGGGACGGTCACTAGGAAATTTTTTAAAAGTTGAAAATGGCATGGGTAGAAAAAAAGCGTCTGATTTTGTACTCTAACAGCTCTTAAGAGTTACTGAGATCTGAACAATGCTCAGCTACAAGGCGACTTCATTTATACTATATGTGACAGAAAAAGTCCAAAATTTAATTGCCAAATTCATGATGACTAGTAGAACCCAAAGACCAAAGTAACTCCTAAAAAAAAAAAAAAAAAAAAAAAAAAGCAACCCTGAAGCCTGAAATTTCCTACTTTTTGAAGAAGCCTATGGGGAATTTATATCTAGATGCCTTCTAAAAGGGCTTTAATTTATATCACCATCATCAGAACAAGGTTTTGATGATACTGTTTTCTATTTCCTTTCCTTCCCTCCATAAATTAGAAGATGCGTGTTGAAATACACTTTAAATATAACACTCAGTCAGTTTCGCCTTTAAAAGGATCAGTGAAGTATAGTGTGTTTCAAGTGGCTACATGGTGTAGGTCATTGTGACATCTGTAGGTCATTGGATGGACATCTTTTTCTAGTACCTTTTTCTTCTTGGGTACTCTGTTCAAAGCTGGAGGGTCATTCCAACCATTCTGAGGACCTATAACAGATAAGAGAGAACGTTTTCCTTCAGAATCCTGAAAGGAAAAAAATAAAACTGAATCCATCACCTAATACTTCAAAATTTTGCCTTAACCCTGAGATAACTGCCACAAAGGTTTTACCAGCCGAGTGTGGGGATCACCATGTAGCCCTGGATTCTCACTCTCACACCTCTTAATAGGAACAAGGTCTTCACTTGGTAGGCAAGATATCTTGACACTGTTTCCATTTAAAGTGAAAGAGCTGTGCTAAATTTAGGATGGTGAAGTTTTTATTTACACTGGTGTATATAACCTTCAAAGATCAGTTTACTATTCTCTCCTAATAATGAAAATACAAACTCTGCTAAAAAAAAAAAAAAAGACTTCTGATATATTCAACATATATTAAAAAAAAGAATAAAATTAGCAATCTCCTATTTGCCAAGAGGGCAATTCAACATAAGCAAATCATCTATTCTAAACATGGTAAAAATACGTTAAGAAAAAAAACAGACTCCAATTACGTAGCACTAGTAATTTTTAAAATCATTTTTGCCTTGGGAATTACTTATAAGCAAAGTAAAAAAGGGTAAGCAAATATCTGTGCTAAGATTTTTAATACCATAAAAAAATTCCCAGGCTGATAGAAATTATAAAATTAAAATACTACCAACTATAGTAAATCTCCTCTTAAAAAACACACACATACGAACAAACCAACCAAAAAACCATGTTATTTCGAAGTGAAAAAATGAACAACAGTAGCACAACTTAAGCACTTTAATGCCAGTATCTTTAAAGAAAAAAGGAATACAATATGCTGGAAATAAGACAATATATATATTTTGAAACGGAGTCTAGCTCTGTCTCCCAGGCTGGAGTGCAGTGGCAAGAACTTGGCTCACTGCAACCTCCGCCTCCTGGGTTCAAGCAATTCTCCTGCTTCAGCCTACTGAGTAGCTGGAACTACAGGCGTGCACCATCACACCCGGCGAATTTTTATATTTTTAGTAGAGATGGGGTTTCACCATGTTGGCCAGGCTGGTCTTGAACTCCCAACTTCAGGTGATCCACCCACCTTGGCCTCCCAAAGTGTTGGGATTACAGGCATGAGCCACTGTGCTCAGCCAAGACAGAATAATTTCTAAATCACAATTAATTCTTTTACATTTCACTAAATGTGAGTTTTGATAACTTCTATAAGAAATACTTGCTAAAGAAATTTTTGTTTATGTACATGTGTAAAGACAAAAAATTACCTTTCCAATAAACATTTTTTCAATATTTTAATTTGTACTTGTTTAACTGATATACATAATATTAAGTCATAAGAAAACTGTTTAGCAAACAAAAGTCACAGAAACTTTAAAAAATACAGATTTTTGCCTAACCACCAGCATTTACTTGTCTTGATTTTAAAAGAGAAGTCAGGCCAGGTGCAGTGGCTCATTCCTGTAATCCCAACACTTTGGGAGGCCAAGGCAGGTGGATCACTTGAGGTCAGGAGTTTGAGACCAGCCTGGCCAACATGGTGAAACCCTGTCTCTACTAAAAATATAAAAATTAGCTGGATGTGGTGGTACACGCCTGTAGTCCCAGCTACTCAGGAAGCTGAGGCAGGAGAACTGCTTGAACCTGGGAGACGGAGATTGCAGTGAACCAAGATTGTGTCACTGCACTTCAGCCTGGACGACAGTGCAAGATTCTGTCTAAAAAAAATAAAATAAAATAAAAACAGAATTAACTTCTTATACATTTTCTAGGAGACAGAAAGTCAGGTATGGCTCAAAACAGTTAAGAGTTAACCACAAAATATTAAATGATATGCTGCTTTCTGATTAACAAATTCTTAAATTTCTGGTTCTCCATCAATTATTTAATCATTCAAATATTTGCACTTTCTAGTCTTACCAGTGGCTTAAGACAGTCTTGGCATAGTTTTTTCTTTATGTCTATATAAAACAGCCTTGATAACAAAGCTACTTGTCAAATCACATAAATTCAATCAGTTCCAAAATTTAATTCAATTATGAAGCCAAATAAAAAGATGATCCTGATCAGATTTAGAGTATCATCATCTTTGAGGTTGACATGCATTATTTTTAATGTCTACTCATTAATTGTGTTCAATCATTCAAAGATTTCCAAAGGTATATTTTACAACCAATTCACCTTCCAACACAGGTGCCTGGTCTTGGATAGACAGGTTTTCTGTAGATAAAATGTAAAAATTACTTAACAGTACTACCGAAGACATTTTAAAGTCTACTGATTTTATAATTGTTTCTTCTTCCTTCATTAATCCCCAAAAAGTGTAAATTAATTTTATAAGAGAACAAAACTTATTTTTTTCCTATTCTTTTTTTTTTTTGAGACGGAGTTTCACTCGTGTTGCCCAGGCTGGAGTGCAATGGCACGATCTTGGCTCACCACAACCTCCGCCTCGCAGGTTCAAGCAATTCTCCTGCCTCAGCCTCCCGAGTAGCTGGGATTACGGGCATGCGCCACCATGCTTGGCTAATTTTGTATTTTTTTTCAGTAGAGATGGTGTTTCTCCATGTTGATCAGGCTGGTCTCAAACTCCCGTCCTCAGGTGAACCACTCGCCTCGGCCTCCCAGAGTGCTGGGATTATAGGCGTGAGCCACCGTGCCCAGCCACAAAACTTAGTTTTTAACCAAGTCCTGTGAAATGTCTTATTAAGAAAGTAACCAGTTTGTTTGACCGAGTGAATTCATTTAAGTTGTTAGATCCAATTAACTCTTAAACATCATTATTTTCTTACTGTGCTATCTTTTATTTTTTTTTTTTTGAGTCAGAGTTTTGCTCTTTGTTCCCCAGGCTAGAGTACAGTGGTGTGATCTTGGCTCACTACAACCTCTGCCTCCAGGGTTCAAGCGATTCTCCTGTTTCAACCTCCCAAGTAGCTGGAATTATAGGTGCTCCCCACCACACCCAGCTAATTTTTATATTTTTAGTAGAGATAGGGTTTCACCATGTTGGCCAGACTGGTCTCAAACTCCTGACCTCAGGTCATCCGCCAGCTTCGGCCTCCCAAAGTGCTGGAATTACAGGCATGAGCTACTGCACCAGGCCTATGCTGTATCTTTTTAAAGAGAAAATTGTATCCTTTTGTATTTAAAATAACAATGTTTCCCTAATTGTTTGCATGCATTGTTTTTCTACTATTTGACTAATAAAGCTCAGAAATATATATCACTGAGGGGACAGCACTTTCTAACATATTCACCTAATGTGTCTATTTTGGTATTGTTCAAAGCTGTGAATCCGAATCAGCTGTGGATCTTGTTAAACCGCAGATTCTAATTCATTCGGTATAGTGATAGAACCTGGAGAAACTGTAATTTCTGGGGCCACACTGTGCATATAAATGAGAATAGGCCCAGCAAATAATGTAACAACCTCATACGGTCTTTTCTGTAAGAATATACGGATTTGCGGACTCAGCATAAGTCTCCCAGAAATCACTACTTCTTATGGGAAACCAAAGTTTCTAGCAGAGGAGAAGAGAAAATCAGGCTGACACCTAACATAGCAATTCCAATTGTCAAATATTTAGGGTCGGGCCAGGCCCAGTCTCAAATCCCAGGTATGCAGTGTTAGTGTGTCACAGACATTTAACTTATGTGGATTCAACGATCGTCAGTTGATGAGGGAGGGAGGAAACAAGAATATAGTAATTAAAATTGTGAGTTCATTCTGCGATTAAATAGGCAGTAAAAGAAAAGAAAAAATATATAGTGAGTTCAATTTTGTTTGAATTCTACTCAAGAAGCATGTCCCAGGGACACTGTGAGGCAGGAGAAATAATCCCATATTTTGAATTCTCATTGTGTGGAGTGCAATTCTGTTTACTGACAGATGTTTTTCATACAATATATAAATGCAAGCCAACTTTTTCATCTAGGGTTTAACTGTAAAAAGGATCAAGGATAATTGACTGTAAGTGATTTTCTATTTTTACCTTGAATGATGACTTTACAACCTACCTCTCCATGTGAGATATGACTCCATAACACTACAGTTCATAAATGTCTGGTGAGTCACCGTGTGTGCATTACCATGGAGGACTGACCTGATTCCCAACTACTAAGGCACTCTCTATCACCAGACTTCAGCTTCTGGCTGAGGGAGCCAATATATTACAAACCTAAAAGTATTGGAAATACTTTGGGCTTGACCCTTTAGTCAGGTCAAAATAACATGCTCTCTTCCCCTGCCTCATGAGAGGAAGATGCAGATCAGGACTGCTTTTAAGCTCTGGGTGTTAAAGCTGGGAGGGTATCCAGACTTCACCAACTATGAGAAGCACACAAAAGTCTGTGGAACTATTTTCTTATGTCCCCTTAGTAAAAGGACACCAAAGTCACAATAAAATCAAATTCAAAGTTAGAGGTAAAACAGAACAGAATCAGAACCCACAAGTCTCTCAGGAGGAACAGTCAGTTGGCTAGCCTGAATAAGTTAAAGCGGGGGTGGGGAGGCCTGCTGAACAGAAGGCAATATTTTATTAAAAAATTCCCCTCTCCCAAAATACATGCCTGACTGACTCCTCCTAACCTCAAACCATGCAACATATTAAGTAAGCCATGTGTTTTAGCAAAGCTCCAACAGTCTTTTTATTAACTTAATGTACAGTTTTGTCTCGATTATAATTCTAACCCCTTTCAATCTTGCTTTTAGATTTAGATTGTTTAAACGTGACTTTAAAAAAAAATTCTCCTACTCAAACATTTTATGTATGTATGTATGTATGTATGTATTTTTGAGAAGGAGTCTCGCTTTGTCACCCAGGCTGGAGTGCAATGCTGTAATCTCGGCTCACTTCAACCTCTGCCTCCTAGGTTCAAGTAATTCTCCTGCTTTAGCTTCCCGAGTAGCTGGGATTACAGGTGCCCACCACCATTCCTGGCTAAGTTTTGTATATTTAGTAGAGATGGGGTTTCACCATGTTGGCCAGGCTGGTCTCAAACTCCTGACCTCAAGTGAGGCACCCACCTAGACCTCCCACAGTACTGGGACTACAGGCATGAGCCACAACAACTGGCCTAAATACGACTTTTTACAAACAGTTCAACTGATCTCTCCTTTATAGAGATCTCTCCTTTAGTAGCGACAGGAAGTAAAACAATCTACCTGAAGAACATACATAGCTACAGAAGACATTATGGATGTGAAAAATATGAAAAATGATATTCTTGGTCAATACTTAAAAAAAAAATCAACACAGCACATTTTAATCTTGAACAGAAATCTCTCAGAAAACTGAAAAGGAGAAAAATCTCCCTACCCATTTTTTACTCTTTCAAAATACTCTAAAGTAGGGATGACTCTCTTACTCTTTAAAACATGACATGACTTCAAGGACATGGAAAAATGATTCATAGTGTAGTATTAAGAAAAAAGTAAGGCAGGTGTGATATTAAGTGTGTAATATCACTTACTATTACACGTGGTGACTCACGCCTGTAATCCCAGCACTTGGGAGGCCAAAGCGGGTGGATCACCTGAAGTCGGGAGTTCAAGACCAGCCTGACCAACATGGCGAAACCCCGTCTCTACTAAAAATGCAAAAATTAGCTAGATGTGGTAGCACACACCTGTAGTTTCAGCTACTTGGGATGTTGAGGCAGGAGAATTGCTTCATCCCAGGAGACAGACGTTGCAGTGAGTCGAGACTGAGCCAATGCACTCTGGCCTGGGTGACAGAATGGAACTTGTCTCAAGGGAAAAGGCAAAAAGTAAGATGTAAAATTACGTGTATGTTTGTGTTAGTATTATGATCCCAATTCTTCAAAAAGGCATGCACACAATGAACTACTACTTCAAACCCATTAGGATTCCTATTAAAAAACAGAAAACACAAGTGTTGGCATGGATGTGGAGAAACTGAAACCCTTGTGGATTCCTGGTGGGAATGTAAAATGGTGCAGCTGCTGCGGAAAACAATGTGGTGGTTCCTCAAAAAACTAAACGTAGAATTACTGTTTGATCCAGCAATTCTACCTGTAGGTATGTACACTAAAGAATTAACAGCAGGGACTCCAACAGGTATTTGCACACCCCTGTTCATAGCAGCATTATTCACAAAAGACAAAATGTCTATCAGCAGATGAATGGATAAACAAATGTGGTATATAGATATATACAAGGGGAGTATTACTCAGCCTTTAAAAAAGTCCTGATACATGCTATAACATAGATGAACCTGAAAAACATTATGCCAGTCAAAAAAGCCAGACATAAAAGGACAAATGTTTCATGATTCTACTTATATAAGGCATCTAGAACAAATACATAGAGACAGAAAGTAGAACAGTAGTTACCAGAAGCTGTGGGGAACAGAAGTTATTGTTTAATGGGTACAGTGTTTCAGTACGAGATGAGGAAAAAGTTTTGCAGGGATGGCTAATGGGTACAAAAATGTAGTTTGACACAACTGAATAAGATCTAGTTGACAGCACAACAGAGTGACTACATAATGTAGGGTGTAAATAATGTACAATAGCTCTCAAACATTTAAAAATAACTAAAAGAGTATACTTGGACTGTCTGCAACACAAAGAATGATAAATGCTTGAGGTGATGGATACTCCAATACCCATTTACCCTGATGTGATTATTATGCATTGTATGCCTGTATCAAAATATCTCATCTACCTCAAAAACATATACATCCACCATGTACACACAAAAAATTTGTTTTAAGTTCTAGTCAGGTGCAGTGGCTCACGCCTGTAATCCCAACACACTGGGAGGCAGAGGTGGGTGGATCACGAGGTCAGGAGTTCAAGACCAGCCTGGCCAACATGGTGAAATCCCATCTCTACTAAAAATACAAAAATTAGCCAGGCGGCCGGGCGCACTGGCTCACGCCTGTAATCCCAGCACTTTGGGAGGCCGAGGCGGGTGGATCACGAGGTCAAGAGATCGAGACCATCCTGGTCAACATGGTGAAACCCCGTCTCTACTAAGAATACAAAAATTAGCTGGGCATAGTGGCACACGCCTGTAGTCCCAGCTACTAGGGAGGCAGAGGCAGGAGAATGGCTTGAACCCAGGAGGCGGAGGTTGCGGTGAGCCGAGATCGCGCCATTGTACTCCAGCCTGGGTAACAAGAGCGAAACTCCGTCTCAAAAAAAAAAAAAAAAAAAAAATAGCCAGGCACAGTGGCATGCGCCTGTAATCCCAGCTACTTGGGAGGCCGAGGTGGGGAGAACTGCTAGAACACAGAAGACAGCGGTTGCAGTGAGCCCAGATTGCGTGACAGCACTCCAACCTGGGTGACACAGTGAGACTCCGTCTCAAAAAAGAATAAACAAGTAAATAAATATAGCATGTCACTGGATACTATAGTCTTATCCACCTTAGCATAGAGATTCATCTTCCACAGAATCTTTGTGGGAAGGAAGAGGGAAGAGCTGATCTCACATTCAAGGGCGGAGTTGCACACCATCCTTATCCAATTCCACTTCTCACTGGAATCCTTCTTAGGTACTCTTACAGGAGCATAATGGTAGAATCTATGCACCAGCTAAGATATGTTTCAGTGGATTCAGAGAAAAATATTCAGTGGATTCAGAGAAAAATTAAAAAAAAAAGCATAGAGACTTTTGGCTAGAAGGTAATTTGAAATAGAGAGAATAGAGCATCTTTGTTAACCATACTCCTTTCATTTCCCTATAAGCCTAGCATGTAACATGTGTAAAAAAAGTATCACAAAATTAAAAATTAAAATTTAAAAAGACACGAATCCTTGAAGTCATTTTTCAATGATACAAGATAAAATTATTCAAAGGAAAGTATAAGAAGGCGATCATGCTTTCCTTTACTTGAATAGTTAAAACCAGATGCTAAAATCTGCCTAAGGAATGTTCATGAATTTTATTTTTTTAATTTCAGAACACTGTTTCATGAGAATATGCAGTATTATTCCCCTTCAAGACTCTTCTATGTGAAGAAGTACAAGATTATATATGCAAATTAAATTATAGTTTTCATTTTTGAAAGTGGTCTCTCCCTTAGAAACAAGCACACATTAACCCAGGAGCTCCCTAGAAACAAAAGTGACAGGCAGTTATCCCAGAGAGTAAAACAGGGAAAACTCCCTGCTGTCCTGTGTTGCCATCACAGAAACAGCATTGCACTATCCCAACTCAGGCTGTTACCGTCTCCTACCTAGAACTAGGAAAAAGCCTGGTTTTCTTACCTCTGATTCTGCTGTGGAACCCACAATCTATCTTGCAAGTCCACATCCAGATTAATCCCCCTTAAGTACCACTTTGACAGCACCACTCAGCAGCTCAAAATCCTTCGTAAGAAACTTCTATCTTATTGAATGATATGAAGTAAAACTCCTTGCCCTGGCACTTAAGGTTTTCCAAAATTTGACCTAAATATAAATTATATGTTCCAATTTATAACAGAGCTATTTGCTGTACACTAGAAATGGACTGTCTTTTCTGCCTCCATTACCTCTGTCTGGGATAATTCTGATTGTAGATTAAACAGGTATCCATTGAGACTTTACCCAATCAATGTTCTGCAGATTGGGGCATTAGTTTCTCTGCACCCCGAGAACATAATTTTGTGGTTAAGAGGGCACGAAAGTCTCTGGATCTGTCAGAAATTATCCATTGAACAGCTGGAATTTCTAAATCCTAAACAAAATCACTATCTAAAACAAATTGGAACAATGACAAAATTTTCGTTTATAATTATTATTATCTGAGACCGTTTCACTTTTTTGCCCAGGCTGGAGTGCAGTGGCGTAATCTCATCTCACTGCAACCTCTGCCCTTGGAGTTCAAGCAATTCTCCTGCCTCAGCCTCCTCAGTAGCTGGGATTATAGGCACCCACCACCACACCCAGCTAATTTTTTCATTTTTAGTAGAGACGGGGTTTTGTCATGTTGGCCAAGTTGATCTCATCCTGACCTCAGGTGATCCAGGTGGATCCTCGGCCTCTCAAAGTGCTAGGATTACACTAGCCACCAGGCCAGCCTTGTTTGCAATTACTTATATAACCTAAGCAAAACTTTTAGGAAATCCTAAAAGAAAATAACATAAAGTTGTCAGTAGATTAAAATATAGCCAACTACTAACATGCAAGAGGTAACAAAGCAGATAGGCATACTGCATGCTGAACAATGGAGAGTGTTTGTCTGGCTTCCTCTTCCTATTAGTTAATCTGTTTTTCAGCCAGATTAGAACATTCTGTTACTTTGTAAATAAACAAACTAATCTCAAGGCCAAATGCACTTCTGCTTAAGGAGAAAAAGAGTATGCAAACATTTAATTTAGATTATACAGTAATAAATGCCTCAGTGTTACTGGGTAATTTTTGAAATTACAGTGCTGATAGTTTTCTATCATTTACACCAGAACTTTACCTGGTATATAAGAATGAACATGGGCTTTGAAGCTGGGAACTTGGTTTGCATTTCAACATGGAGATTCAACATTTATTGGCAACTATTCATTTCAAAAAAAATTTATTTTAGATTCAGAGGGTATACGCCATGCAGGTTTATTACCTGGTTACACTATGTGATGCTGAAGTTTGGCATACAACTGATCCTGTAACCCAGGGACTGAGCATATTACTCAATAGTTTTTCAACAGATGCCCATTTCCTGACTCTCTCCAAATAATTTTAAGTACTTGAAACTTCTCAGTAAAAACATGGAGTATAACTTTGTTCAAGTAATTAGTGTCAACTAAATCTACTTACATTAAGTTCAATGGCAGAGTATACACTCCTACCCTCCTGAAGCTCTGAAGTTTTTCTCATGTAGCAACTAAAGTTCATTATGGGAGAGAAGTGCACTTTCAGGGAGTTTTAAAATTTCTTATAAAAATTCCAAAAGGCCAGGCACAGTGGCTCACACCTGTAATTCCAGCACTTTGGGAGGCTGGGGCAGGTCAATCACCTGAGGTCAGGGGTTTGAGACCAGCGTGATCAACATGGTGAAATCCCGTCTCTACTAAAAATACAAAAATTAGCTCGGTGCAGTAGCTCATGTCTATAATCCCAGCTACTCAGGAGGCTGAGGTAGGAGAATCACTTGAACCCAGGAAGTGGAGGTTGCAGTGAGCCAAGATTATGCCACTGCACTCCACCCTAAGCAACAGAATGAGACTGGGCCTTAAAAAAAAAAAAAAAAAAAAAATCAAGGCCAGGTGTGGTGGCTCATACCTATAATCCCAGCACTTTGGGAGGCCGAGGAGAGTGGATCACTTGAGGTCATGAGTGCAAGACCAGCCTGGCCAACACAACGAAACCCTGTCTCTATTAAAAATACAAAAATTAGCCAGGTACAGTGATGCACATCTGTAATCCCAGCTACTTGGGAGACTGAGGCAGGAGAATCTCTTGAACCTGGAAGGTAGAGGTTGCAGTGAACCCAGATCGCACCACTGTACCCCAGCTTGGACGACACAGTGAGATTCTTATCCACGCCACTCTCCCCCAACCAAAAAAAAAAAAAGAAAGAAAGAAACATGAATCAACACCTCACATTACCCACTTTACAAACAGAAATAATACCCTTCCATCCACCCATCTGTTCATAAATAAAGGAGGGGGCCAAACCAAATCCCTTTCAAGCGCAGACCTGTTCTTTGGGACGCAGGCAGCTCACTGGCAGCAGGCAGTGTACCTGTTGTTCCAGGAGGCAGTGCATAAGCTGAAGATGATGGTGGAGCTCCTGGTCCGCCATGCTGGAAGGATGCTCCAGAGGAAGGGGGAGGAGGAAAAGTAGCAGGGCTGGAGGTAGGTGAAGAGGCCTGGTGCTGTGCTGCGTACAGCTGAGACTGCCCAGAATAGGAGGAAGCAGAAGATATGTAAGGGGTGTTAGGGTAAGCGTTTGAAGTAGGAGGAGCAACAGGCTGCTGAGGTCGATACATTGCTGACCCCCCTGTTCCGAAGGGATACGGCTGGGCTGGTTGATAAGCTACACCAAGGAGAAGAAACAGAAATTTCAATTAGTTACAGGTTTATTCAGATAGTAGCAGAAAACTAAAAAGTTATCTCAGTATATAGAAATGATTTAAATCATTAATAAATTATAATCCCAAATTAAAAATTTATACGGTTCTATTTTTGAGGCTCAGATGTCCCAAATACACTTGAATTCAATAGATTCAGTATCTGAAAAATGCCATCCCTAAACTGCTGCTGGTTATGAAAATATTTGAATCATCAGACCCAAGTAACTATAAGACTGACCCTTTTCTGAGACTTCTGCTGATCCTGTGAAAAGACTACAGCGACCACCAGATGGAACCAGGCAAGGATTACACATTTAAAGCACCCCACTTTACAGAAAAAGTTACATGGAATTTGGTAGCAGCTCCAGACCTTCCTCCCAGTAAGAACTGTAGGGTGAACACTACTGTTATGCATCAAATCTATTCTCCAACATCCAGTTACATCACTAGCTACTGAAATTCTGAGTTTGAGCACAGTTCCAGATTAACTGCCAACTCTATGATCCCTAACAAAATAAGTACTATATATTACATACTGTATATAGTTGGTTAGTAAACAATCAGGCAAGGCAGCCAACTCATGCCTTTTTTTTTTTTTTTTTTTTTTGAGACAGAGTCTCACTTTGTTGCCCAGGCTGGAGTGCAGTGGCGCAATCTCACCTCACTGCAACCTCCACCTCCTGAGTTCAAGTGATTCTCCTGCCTCAGCCTCTCGAGTACCTGGGACTACAGATGCATGCTACCACACCCAGCCGATTTTTGTATTTTCAGTAGAGATGGGGTTTCACCATGTTGGTCAGGCTGGCCTCGAACTCCAGACCTTGTGATCCCCTCGCCTCGGCCTCCCAAAGTTCTAGGATTACAGGCGTGAGCCACCGCGCCTGGCCCTTTAATGCAAAGACCTATACCCAGATTAGGGAGTTTTGGTCTTTTTTTTTTTTTTTTTTTTTCTGAGACAGGGTCTTGCTCTGTCACCCAAACTGGAGTGCAATGGTGTGATCATAGCTCACTGTACTCTCAAACTCCTGTGCTCAAGGGATTTTCCTGTCTCAGCCTCCTGAGTAGCTGAGATTATAGGTTATCGGTGCCACAAGGCCCAGCTAATTTTTACATTTTTTTTTTGTAGAGATGGGGTCTTCCTTTGTTGCCCTGGCTGGTCTCAAACTCCTCACCTCAAGTAATCCTCCTGCCTCAGGCTCCCAAAGTGCTGGGATTATAGGCATGAGCCACCATGCCTGGCTTAGGGAGATCTAAATATTAATACCATCACATTCTTCGTGACCAAGGGAAGGTATGAACCTAAATAAAGTGAATCTAGTAAAAGTGTATCTGTTTCCTATCTATTCTGAAGACAGCTCTTTCACATTAAACATTTGAGTGAAAGGTTGTATCAAATTCATACATATGTTGAATAATAGCATCCATTTTAGCACAGAACACAGTCATTAGAGAGGAACACATTTCTCCTTTGGGATTTTTTAATTTTTTTGCTCTTAAATTTTCAAATAGTGGCAATATTTCACTTTCCAAGTGCAATTATTTTCTTTTAAAGATGCCATTAATAGATACATATCATTACACATTTGTTAAAACCCACAGAATGTACAACACTGAAAGTGTGAACTATGGACTTTGAGTGATAATGAGGCATTAATGTAGGTTTGATTTTAACAACTATACCACTGTGGCGTAGGACGTCAATAGTGGGGCAATCTGTATTTTCTGCTCAGTTTTGTTGTAAACCTAAGACTGCTCTAAATAAATAAATAAAATGAAAAAAGTTTGTAACAAATGCTACTTGAAAATATTTTTCCAAAAAATAATTTGTGTCATCTTGCCTGAAGAAAAAGAATACGTATTAAATAATTTCTAAAATTCTATGTCTTTATATCAAAATCATGGGATGCTTGATTCTCTTTAACAAGTCTTAGGAACAGGAGTCAACTAGTCTGAACAGAGTGACAGAGGAGCTATTTTCTAACATAGTGATTCAAGCCACCTCCTAGGGAAACCATGTTTCTCTATAGCAGGGACTCAGGAATCCTATGTAGAATGGTTCTTACTTTATTGCCAAAATTGATTTGACCATGACTTTGGGGCTTCAAAGTAAAGTTACTACATTAGAAAATAAATATTGCTCTGAAAGGACACTGGGGTCAAACTACTTACGCTGTGGCTGTGGATAAGGTGGTACCTGTGTGTGCATATGACCTGGAGATGTAGGAAGCTGACTGGCAATATTTGGATTAACATTTCCATGCATTAGGAAACCTGGAGGTGGAGGATTTTCTCCCTAGGAAACAAGAACATGGTGAAAAGGAGAATTACAAGTGGAATCAGGAACTTCACCAGATGGACTTATAATCTCTAAAATGGAATTCTGTGTTTGTTAAAAAAAAAAAGAAAAAGAAACATTGCATTTTGCATATTCTGTCTTCCTCAGAACAGCACATTTTCTGAGCAGCACGTTTTGAATGATTAAAGATGATACAGATCCAAAGTAATAATTGCAATAAATGGCAAAATATGCTAACAGCCTTTAAAAATATTTATGAAATGTCACCAGGATTTTCCATCTCTACTAATTTCCATCCACTACTCCACTCTGTAAATATAAATATAAATGCCATAAAGGGAACTTTTGTTTCTCTTCAATTTCTGCAATGCTAAAAAAAGGAAAAAGAAAGAAAAATAAAAAAAGTCTTCAGTAAAATCAGATTTAAACCACTGTCAAAACCTTGGTTAGTGTTTTGGTAGTTCAAGTCAATTTAGAACTGCAAAAGAAGAGGAAGAATAAGGAAATATATTAATTGTGCTAAAAACTACTTTTCACATCCTAAAAGCATTAAAATGCAATGAGCAGGCAGATGGATGGGGAGTGGGGGTGAAAGAGCTTGAGGAAGGTGGGTAGAGAACATATAACTATGAATATTTAGGTGAGCAGAATTCTGCTCAAAGAGGAATAATGAAGGATATACCTGTGTGTCAGAGGGAGAGGCTGCAGGTGGATGGCTGGGAAGGGCAGTAGGAGTTTTGTTACTCCAGGTAGTGACAGTAGGGGCAATTCTAACCTGAATTGAACAAAGAAATACCAATCACAGAAAATAAAAAATGAAAATGTTAAAAGAAATTAAAAAAAAAAAAACCCGAAAGGTATTAACAGCCAGATGCAAAGCAAAAGGTAAGACTGGCAAGATAACATACATTAGTTAGGCAACTGCTTTCAAGGTAGCTGGAATTCCAAAAAAAGCAAAAACAAAAAAACAACAAAAACCATACAATCACAATGAAACAGGGAGAGAAAGGCAGGAGAAAAACCAATATGAAAACCTAAGTCAAAGCACAAAATCAATGCCATTCAAGTGTCAAGTATAGGTGGGGAAAGTGAGGTTTTGTAAGTAGAGAAGGAAAAAAGACATTCCAGAAAAAGAAAGTAATTGAGTAAAAGTGATTTTTTTTTGGAAGCATTAGTAGTATTCATGCTACTACTAATCTACAAACATACTGGTATAAGCTCCCTTTTCTGGATTTCATTACAGCCACAAAAATCATATTAGTCCATTATGAGGCTTAAAAATCATACAATCAGAGTATTAAACCTAAGTACTAAAGATCATCCAGTCTAATTCCCACCCTTTATTGCTTAGAAAACCAAGTTCCAGAGAAGTGAAGGGGACACACAACTCAATGGTGATTCCAGGTTGCCTGATTTCCAGGCCAGTGTTTTCTATACTCTACCATGTTGCTTTCCCTAGAGGCCATTATTTTTGTTTTTTTTAAGCCATCAAAATCATTTTTGTCAAGTAAATCTTGGCAGAAACTCCAAAACTTAAAAAAAAAATTAACACAATTGACCATTGACCAACATGGGTTTCAACTGCATAGGTCCACTTAGATGTAATTTTTTTTTTTTTTTTTTTTTGCGATGAGTCTCCCTCCGTCACCCAGGCTGGAGTGCAGTGGCACAATCTCAGCTCACTGTAACCTCTGCCTCTCGGATTCAAGTGATCCTCCTGCCTCAGCCTCCCGAGTAGCTGAGATTACAGGTGCCCATCACCTTGCCCAGCTAATTTTTGTATTTTTAGGACAGATGGAGTTTCACCATCTTGGCCAGGCTGGTCTTGAACTCCTGACCTTGTGATCCACCCACCTCAGCCTCCCAAAGTACTGGGATTACAGGCGTGAGCCACTGTGCCCAGCCAGATGTGAATTTTTTCAACGAAGTTACACTGAGTTTGCCTGACTCTCACATCTCCCATTCTACCTCCTCCACCTTTTCTCCATCTGCCACCCCTGAGAAAGTAAGACCAACCCCTCTTCTTCCTCCTCCCCCTCAGCCTACTCAATGTGAAGACAAGAATGAAGACCACTTCCACTTAAGGATGAATAGTAAATATATTTTCTATTCCTTATAATTTTCTTAATAATATTTTCTTTTTTCTAGCTTACTTCATTGCTAAGAATATGGTATATAATAAATACGACATACAAAATATGTGTTAATGGACGGTTCATGTTATCAGCAAGGCTTCCAGTCAACAGCAGGCTAATTTTAGGACTTAAGTTCTGGGGAGTGACGTCATGGATTTTCACCTGCATGCAGAGTCAGTACCCCTAACCCACGTGGTTCAAGGGTCAACTGTAAAGGCAAAGTTATGCTGGTCAAAGTAGAAGTGGAACTCCTACTGATCTGGCCTCCCTCTCATCCGTTTGCCCCTGCTTGTTTACACTGCATTAAAACCACAAGCCACTGTCCTCATTCATTCAGTGTATAAGATTTCATTAAGAAACTCACTGCTTTATGATTCACTTTGTCTTTTCCGGCAAGTATAAGATTGGTAAATCAAAGTATAACAAATCTTTCAATGTTTTTACCTTTTTCCAGAAAAATAAAGCTAAGGACATAAAGAATAAATATTCTCTTTTCCTAATGAAGAGCTTGCCTTGCTTCAGTACCATGACATGTAGCTTGGTTTAACACAAGATGCTTGGGAGTTCTAATCTCAACTTGGCTTGTAACCAGCCAGGCAATGGTGAGAAATTCAAGCTCTGTGTCTTCAGTTCTGGTGGGTTGTTTGACATCTCTGCTTCTCAGTTTTCCCAGCCATCATCTGTTCTGCCCTACCTATGTCGTAGATTTTCTAAGTCTAGTGGCAGGGGGAATTTAGTCTATTTTGTTCATAAATATACCCCCAGGAGCTAGAACAATGCCAGGTACTCATGGCAGGGTCTCAACAAATATTTGTCAAATCAATGAACAAAATCAAAATAGAGAGTATTCTAGATAGTTAACAGTTATATTCAAATACAATCTATCCTGATTAAGTACCCATCAAAAACACAACAGACAAAAAGAGCATTAAATTTTTTTGTTCTTCGAGATTTTCTATTTACTTTTTCTATAACAAAATGTAAAAAGACTCCATCAATCCTATCAGCAATTTGTTCTACTTTAAAACAGACACAGTACCTGCTAACTTTGCTATCAATCAAGACCATTTATTACCAATGGAAAAAAAATTCTTCATTTAAGGACACAAAAAGTTATCTACTGGTCTGGAAATACGGAAGTTGCTATGTGAAATAGTAAAAGATAGTAAGAAGCCACATTTTGTAACACCAAACATTTGGTAATTTAAATAAAATTATTGATTCTTTTCACTTTCCACATAATCTACAACTAACTTCAAACACCTTTGGTCATTCACTCTCTAATATCTAACTCGTCCAAAAACAAAAAAAGTCTATATTCTGGATACTCTTTATTGTGCAAATACAGAATACACTAAATCTAAACCTATACTAATGATTAAGAATACTAAAAAAATACTATCTTCTAAAAGTATTTTATAAAACAACCACATCACCAAGATTGTTCCTGCTACTTTACAGCTTGCCAGATGAATCAAACAGAAGTTTCAATAATAGATGTACATTTGTAAGTAAATTTTGAGAGACAGAGAAATAGAATAAATCTCCCTAGAGAGCTTAAAACCAATTTAAGATTGTTCCTGCTACTTTACAGCTTGCCAGATGAATCAAACAGAAGTTTCAATAATAGATGTACATTTTTAAGTAAATTTTGAGAGACAGAGAAATAGAATAAATCTCCCTAGAGAGCTTAAAACCAACTTATATCTAAAATATAATTTGTCTGACCAAGTGAGAGAGATGATTTTAAAACACAGATAATAAAACTTCAAGAATCTAAAAAATACATCTATTTTAACAATATATTGTCTGGTTTTACCATATCAGAGAAGGTCTTTTGCTGAACAAATGAAAACCACCAATTTGAAGAGAAATACAAAAGTGTTCCTACTTCATCTGGACCATATCACTCACATGGGGATAATATTGCTGAGTTTGAACTCTTGGCATCTGGTGATGGCCAGTAACTGATCCAGGCCTGCCCTTGGGCAGCTGCTGCTTCTCATATGGAATTTTAGGTGATTCGTGTCCTGCCATAGGCTCTCCTTGTGCTCTACAAAGTCTGTCACGAAGCTGCATGATATTTGGCTTAAAAAAGGAATAGAAAAAAAGCAAACTGTTAGAGTTCACCTAGCTATATGACAGCATGCTAATTTTCTTAATCAGATTATTCATCAACATATCCCTTTTTGTTCATAATGCTGGGTATTATACAATAGATCCTGACACTCACAGATCTGACGTCATAGTTTCTATTACTCAAGACTGGCACCAAAGGTCCATGACGTACAGTGAAACTTGTAATTTAACTGAGGCAGGGATCTGAATTATGCCCACCTTATGGTTACTATGCAAGACCAATATCACTTATCACTACTACTCTTTAATGTTTTCTTGTGGTTACCTAATGCTCATAAATCACAAAAACTACTTTAAAAACTGTAACTAAAAAAGGCCACCAAGGAGAATCAACTATTAAAGATGGTTATGGAAGAAAATGGTGATCTAAGAAAGAGACGAAAATGTCAAAAGAGATTTTTGAAATAAAGAGTAAGATGTGAAATTCAGATCTGTAACTCATACAGATCTACATGCACAGAGATTTACAAAAGTATGAGGTGACCATATATGTTCTAAGTGTTAACAAGTAACAAAAAGGCAATGTGTTAAAACGTTTCAGCAAGATCTATCTCTAAAAATTATACATTCCTATACATTTGTTAAAGGTTTAAAGGGATCATTTAAATGTTTTAGGCATATTTTATTTTCCTTTTACAGGGGAGAACTGTATATTATAATGCTATCACAAAGTGTCAGGACATACTCTCCCACAAAATGCAAGGTCTACCAAGATAAATAGAAAATAACATCAAAAAATATACTTTTTTTTGGCCTAAAGAATGTTCTTTAATAAAAGTAAAAAAAAAAAAAAGCATGAAGAATAATGTATAGAAAACGGATGTGATTATAAATGGTACTAAAAATGAATTAATCTTAAGCTAGATGAGCTACAGGTCTTAGAGTAAATTAGTCTTAAGATAAAGCTTCATATGTATATATAACTTTTTACTTATTAAGTAAAAAGTCTTATAAAACTAGTATATTAAAGCCACCATAAAGGAAAAGATTACGTATCATCTATCCTACCTAATATTCCCATCGACAATTCAGAAATAAATGAGCCAGATCTTACAGCTAAATAAAACCAACTAGAGAGTCATACCACCACAGTCCTGGAGAATATCATGTACTTTTACTCAATGGAATGTATCAACAATTCCCAAAAACAGACAAAATACTGAAAACAATTGACTAAAAAAATACATCGAAAACAGAATAAAGTAATTAGTAAAATAGTACAGAGATAAGATTGTATCTGCAAGGTTCAAAATCAAGCTCCATTAGACACAAAATGCAGATATAAATATTCCTGTGGAAAAGTGTCTTCGAGCCTCACCTGTACTTTCACCCATGCTCCATGACTGGGTTTGGGTTCCCCTCTATTGTGTTCCATAGCACCAATACCCTTATCACAGTACTTATATCACATTTTTGGAATCCCATGTTTACTTGTCCATAGCCAACCTGAGTTTGGAGGCTTCCTAGAGAAAGGATCTTCGCAATCTTGTTCACCATTCTATACCCACTTGTTGAACTGAATTGAAAAAGTATCATTTTGCCCAAGTTTTATTGTGCAATAAATAAAGGCAATGTAATTAGTTTCCTCTGCACTGAATATGTAAAAATATACTTGCCCACAGACAGTAAGTATCAGATTAAAAGGGCATACAGAATGAACTTCTTCAATACTATCTGGGATGGAACACATGGGATTTTTAAAATGTTAACAACTCCATTTGTTTGATTAAACATTAACATTTACAGCTTTTTGACATAAAAGATTCCTACAAAGAACTTTATATGAAGAATCAGCATTTGGCTTTAGAAATAAAAAGTGGTCTTTTCCCTAATCATTTTCCTAAAATACTATGTCCTTCAGTACAAAGGAATCTGTCACACTGCAAGAGCATCCTCTCTCTCTGATACAGCTTAGATACACTTAAAATGATCTCTGAAGAATTGTCAGTAACATTTACCTACAGTCAGGTTATAGAAATTCAACTGCTCCAAAATATTCCACCTACTAGTATGTTTATGTCTAATGCTAAGTGGTGTCTACTAGACTCACCTTACTCAAACATTACAGAAACAGTCACTTGTAATTACCTGGTTGGTGTTGTCAGGAAGAAAAGCCAAGGCTGCAGCAATACTGCCCTGAGCTGCCAACAAATTGGCATACTGACTCATCTTTGCAGCCAAGAGAACTCCTACAGTACTAGTGTCTGTGGCTTGAGTGAGTTGCACAGCTTTTCTAAGGACGACAACTTTCTCAATCAGATCCTAAATGAAAACAATGAGAGAGAAACAAACAGAAATATCAAGACTGTATGAGAGGAAGCAGGAAAAGATCAACAGTTACTAATATTTCTAAAACCCACTAAAAGTACAGTACCTATTATCATTCCTCTTAGAAAAGTACAGCCACTATTTAGGTAAGTAAAAAAGTAGTAAGGAGGAAGAAGACCTTTTACTCATGGATAGGGCATAGGTTACCACCTTCTAAATATCCTTAAACTACCAGGTAATAGTCTAGTGAGCTAAAATAGGCAAATACTCAAAGTGAAAATGATAGGCAGATGTCAGAAGGTAGAAACTGTGTTCTACCATGTATGGGCAGAGCTATGAATGAAAATATCTGATATGTTTTGGCTGTGTCCCCACCCAAATCTCATCTTGAATTGTAGCTCCCATAATCCTCATGTGTCATGAGAGAAACCCAGTGGGAGGTAACTGAATCATGGGGCAGGTTTTTCTAGTGCTATTCTCTTGACAGTAAGTCTCATGAGATATGATGGTTTCATAAAGGGCAGTTTCCCTGTACACGTTCTCTTGCCTGCCACCATGTAAGACATGCCTTTGCTTCTTCCTTCACCTTCCACCAAGCTTGTGAGGGCTCCCCAGCCATGTGGAACTCTGAGGAACTTGGAGTCCATTAAACATCTTTTTCTTTATAAATTACCCAGTCTTGGATATTTCTTCATCTCAGTATGAAACCAGACTAATACAATATCACACCAACTATTCTATAAAAATAGTACTACTATGAGGTAACCCATAGACAGAGATACATGATTTCCAAAAGAATTTACTATTTTAAGTTGAAGTTCTCATGTTGTTCTTCAATACTAAATCTTTCCACAATGGGGAGCTATGCTTCTGGGAGAAAGTCTAAGAATATCATACCTTTCTGCCTTTCCTAAGTACCTAAATCCAGAGGGGTAAAACAAGTGGTTTTCTCTCAGAAGCTCTTAAAAGGAAAACCTTGATTTTCTACCCATTTTTTTTTTTGTTTCAATAGTGATCTTTAAAGCAATGATTCTACGGAGAAAATCTTTCCAGAAAGAGAAATATTATATGGTAAAATTGTCCTAAGACTGCTGATTTAAATGCTTAGGAAAAAATATCTAAATATATAGTTAGTGCCTGAGAATAGTCCCCACATTTTCTACTTCCTCTCTCGCTTGTGTATTGGTGTCACATGGCAGTGCTCCCCAACCTATGTGGCACCAGGGACCGATTTCGTGGAAGACAATTTTTCCATTGGCCAGCAAGGGGGATGGGTTCGGGATAAAACTGTTCCACCTGACCTGTTCCATCAGGTATTAGATTCTGATAAGGAAGATGGAACCTAGATCCCTCACATGCACAGTTCACATCAGGGTCCCATGAGAATCTAATGCCACCACTGATCTGAAAGGAGGTAGAGCTCAGGAAATAATGCTCGCTCACCCACCACTCACCTCTGCTGTGTTCCTAAGAGGCCACAGACTGGTACTGGTTTATGGCCTGAGGGTTGGGGACTGCTGTTACATGGGATTCCATTTACCTCTCTTTCATCTTCCCTTAACTATAAAGATTCTCTACTGGTATTGGGGATGCCTCCTATTCCTTTACCCACATTGCTTCTTTCTTTGCTCATGGCAGGCAGAGCCACTGGAAGCAGATGGAGGAGTACACAGAAAAAGAGGTAAACTCTACTGCTGTTTTCAATCCTCCTGCCACCTATTTCCCCCAATAAACTGCCAAATCACAACCATGATCTTACAATAGCTGCAACCCCATTTTCCTATCCCATCTTTTCAAACTTTGCTTCTTCAAAGACAGCAATAAATTTATATAATTGTCCAGCAAAAGAAGTTCTTGAATGTATAGAACAAATGAATTTCTGGATTATAACTTGATAATAAGTAGGGTGAAAGACAACACTAAAAAATAAGTCCCTTTTGCTTCAAAGATACTAACCTGAAGAGACAAAGGGTGACTTCTATCTTGAGCTTTAGTCCAACATGCAACTAATTTCTCTACATTCCCTGCACAAATATAGCAGAGACATGCTTGAGTCTGCAGGAGGCTATCTCCTTCATTTTCAAGCCTCGTTCCCAAAAGATCTATAAATAAGAGGAAAATAAAATAAGATTATATCCAAGGCAATCTGTATATGACTGTATATGAAGCTGTGAGCAGCTAACAATATTTTCAGAGGCATGGATTAAACTTCATAACCAATGAGTAGCATGTAGAAACAAAATCACTCTAAATGCTTAGTAAATATTAATTTGTTAAATGAATGAAAGTGAGCGACAAATTGTATATAATAAATGAGTTTACAAAACTATTATCTAACTGTACAACTAATTTTTATTAATTATGTTAGAAAAACAATAAATGCGGCCAGGCGAGGTGGCTCATGCCTGTAATCCCAGCACTTTGAAAGGCTGAAGTGGGCAGAACATGAGGTCAGGAGTTTCAGGAGGCTGGCCAACATGGTGAAACCTCATCTCTACTGAAAATACAAAAATTAGTTAGGCATGGTGGTGGGTGCCTGTAATCCCAGCTACTCAGGAGGCTGAGACAGGACAATCACTTGAACCCAGGAGGCAGAGGTTGCAGTGAGCCAAGATCGTGCCATTGCACTCCAGCCTGGGCGACAAGAGCAAGACTCCATCTCAAAAAAAAAGAAAGATGTCATCCCATCTGAATGTGATCAACTAAAAAAAAAAGAAAAGAAAGAAAGAAAAACAATAAGGAACAATATTTGAACAAAAAAAATCCTAAAGGCACATTTGGAATAGATTTATCAATGGTAGCTAAGTCTAATATAAATTATTTACAAAAATGCAGTTTTGGCTGGGCATGGCGGCTCACGCCTGTAATCCCAACATCTTGGGAGGCCAAGGGAGGTGGATCAGCAGAGGTCAGGAGTTCAAGATCAGCCTAGCCAACATGGTGAAACCCCGTCTCTACTAAAAGTACAAAATTAGCCAGGCATGGTGGTGTATGCCTATAACCCCAGCCAGTCAGGAGGCTGAGGCAGGAGAATCACTTGAAGCCAGGGGGCGGAAGTTGCAGTAGGCCAAGATCGCACCATTGCACTCCAGCCTGGGCAACAAAAGCAAAACTCTGTCTCAAAAAAAAAAAAAAGAAAGCAGTCAGTATCTTATAATTTTATATTCTTATAATTCTTTCAAGGTAGCAAATGGCTATTTGTTATACTAGTAGCCTTGAGCTTTTCTTGCAAATATTTATTCCTTAGCCATCAGTTTAGTCATGGTCTATAATGGTAATTTCTATTCTAATGTTATCATTATTAATTTTATCATAGCTAACATTTATTAAATGAGAGCTATTTATGGTCTATTTTACAGATGAATAAACTGAGGCTTAGAAAGTAATTTTTCCTAGATCATACATCTACTAAGCAGCTAAGGCAAGATTCCAACTCTAGTCTGTCTGAAACCAAAATCACTAATGAGTTTTTTAAAAATAAATAAATATGAAGAAGTAATATATTTAATAAATCTGAGAAAAGCACTGAAATGAGAAGTTCTTTTTCTTTTTTGTGATTCACAGATTTACAAAAGCTTCTAATAAAATTTAAGTTTATTTACAATATATCCTGCCATGTATGTAATGCAGTTAAATATAAGACACATTCCTTACCACAAAGGGCTGAAAATTCATCCGGCTTTGCATAAGTCAATACTGCAGCTAAAGCCTCTCTCCAATTTTTAAGATCACAAGACTCAACAATCTCTTTCCAGTTCTTCATCACCACTGCAGTGATGAGCTTGAGAAAGGAAAACGAAAGAAGAATTAAATGCCTTAACACAGCAATAAAAATTAATTCTGGCTAATTAATCATGTCAAGTATTTCATGCCAAGTACAGCAGCAAAATGAAATACATTTTTGAATCAAATGACATAATAATGGTATTATTGTTCCTCAAGAAACAACAGCCAACAACAAAAACAACTGACAACATATTTCATAAAGTGCTGAGAAGAAAAAATATAAGGTGCTATCAGAACCTTTAATAGGAAGGTGTGACCTGATCATATGGATCAGGAAAAACTGCCCAAGCATGTAGATTTTTGACAAGTGATCTCTGAAGGACAAGCAGGAACTAACTTCATCAAGAAGAAAAAAGCCTTCCAGGCCAAGGGAACAAGAGACGCAAAGTTCCAGTGAGAAAGGAACATGCAATGAGTGAGAGAGGAACTAAAAGGCAGCCACTGTGGCTAAAAGGTAACAGAGGAGAGAGTGACGTGAGATGAGGCTGGTGGGACTCAATATTGGTACAACTTTTATGAAAACTAACTTCCACAAAAATTACTTTATAATGTAGAAATAACATCAAGTTGCCACAAAAAAGAATGAGATCATGTCCTTTGCAGGGACATGGATGGAGCTGGAGGCCATTATCTTTGGCAAACTAACACAGGAACAGAAAACCAAATACTACATATTCTCACCTATAAGTAGGAGCTAAACGATGAGAATATGTGAACACATGGAAGGAAACAACACACACTGGTCCTACTGGAGGGTGGGAGGAGGGAGAGAATCAGAAAAATTAATTAAAGGGTCCCAGGCTTAATATCTGGGTGATGAAACAATCTGTACAACAAACTCCCATGACACAAATTTACTCATAAGTTTGTTAGATATAAGAAACCTGCACATGTACCTCTGAACTTAAAAAGTTAAAAAAAAATTGGGACACTTTGTGCCAGAAATTCCTCTTCTAGGACTACAGTCCAACTTAAATCAGAAATTTGTACAGGTCTTTAGGCACGCCAAAGGTGTTTTTAACACTATATAGACAAGGGGTTTATTTCTATTAGGAAAATATTGGAAACTACCTGAACATACCAAAATAAGGAAAACATTATATCTTCTCACTATGAAATATTATAGAGCAAATAAAAACTTTAATAAGGCCAGGTGCAGTAGCTCACACCTGTAATCCCAACACTTTGGAATTCCGAGGTGGGTGGATCATCTGAGGTCAGGAGTTCAAGACCAGCTTGGCCAATATGGTGACACCTCATCTCTACTAAAAACACAAAAATTAGCTGGGCATGGTGGTGGGCGCCTGTAATCCTAGCAACTTAGGAAGTGAGGCACAAGAATTGCTTGAACCCAGGAGGCAGAGGTTACAGTGAGCCAAGATCATGACACTGCACTCCAGCCTGGGCAATCCAGCAAGACTCCATCTCAAAAAAGAAAAAAAAATGTTTTAATAAAAATCTTTAATGATGTAAAAAACGACTTAACAATGTACTTGACAGTATCTATAAACAAAACCCCACACACACCCATACATATATATATATACACACACACACACAAGTATGATCCTGAATCTGTTAAAAAAAAATTCTACAAATACACAGATAAGACGTATAGAAAGATATGCATCAATGTATTGACAGAATTAGGGGGCGTTGAAATTTTTACCATTAAAATTTTCTACATAAAGCCTTTCTGAAATAACTGAAATATTTTTAATCCTTTTTTTCCCCCCCTGAGACAAAGTCTTGCTCTGTCACCCAGGCTGCAGTACAGTAGAGCAATCTCACTGCAACCTCCACCTCCTGGGTTCAAGCAATTCTTCTGCCTCAGCCTCCGAGTAGCTGGGATTACAGGCACCTGCCACCACATCTGGCTAATTTTTGTATTTTTACTAGAAATTTGAGGTCCAGGATAGCCTCAAATTTCACCCTGTTGACCAAACTGGTCTCAAACTTTTGTCCTTGTGATCCACCTGCCTCAGCCTCCCAAAGTGCTGGAATTATAGGCATGAGCCACCTCACCCAGCCTTTTTTATTTTTTATTTTTTGAGGCAGAGTCTTGCTCTGTCACCCAGGCGGAGTGCAATGGCACAATCTCAGCTCACTGCAACCTCCGCCTCCCAGGGTGAAGCGATTCTCCTACCTTAGCCTCCCAAGTAGCTGGGACTATAGGTGCCTGCCACTACGTCCAGCTGTAGTTTTTTGTTTTTTGTTTTTTTTTTTTAATAGAGACAGGGTTTCACCACATTGGCCAGGCTGATCTCGAACTCCCGACCTTATGATCCACCCGCCTGGACCTCCCAAAGTGCTGGGATGCCCAACGTGCCCAAGCACTTTTTTTAAGACGCAGTTTTGCTCTTGTTGCCCAAGCTGGAGTGCAATGGCATGATCTCGGCTCACTGCAATCTCTGCCTCCCAGGTTCAAGTGATTCTCCTGCCTCAGCCTTCTGAGTAGCTGGGATTACAGGCATGCACCAACATGCCCAGCTAATTTTTTGTATTTTTAGTAGAAACAGGGTTTCACCATGTTAGCCAGGCTGGTCTCAAACTCCTGACCTCAAGTGATGGGCCTGCCTTGGCCTCCCAAAGTGCTGGGATTACAGGTGTGAGCCACTGCCCACAGCCTAATGTTTTTAATCTTTAAAATTACGAATATATACGAAAACAACAAAAACTAGAACAATCATGCCAAACTGCCAACAACTATTTCCAGGTCAAGGAATTACGAATGAGTTTTTAAAATTCTTTACTGTTTTCTGCATTTCAGTTATCTATAACAACAGTGTACGGTTTTTATACTTAGAAAGATAAATGTTATTGTTTATTTTTAAAATAACATACCCTGGTAATTTTGCTTTGTGATTTTGCAAAGTATTTTTTCTGGGTTCGAGCCAACAGTTCTTGTCCACCTGCTATGGCCAATATAATGGCATCAGCCATTCGGTTATCATGTAAACAAAGGTCAACAGCACTCTCAAAATTACCCGTCAGCAAAGCCTGAGTAATTAAACCATCAATGTCTGCAACAAGAAAATAATACATCCAAGTTAAATAGAGTTTTTGTTACCAAAACCAACAACAAACTACTACATGCATCAATCTTTATATATGTACACAAATGGAGACCACAATATGAATTTCTGATTAGTAGTGGATTAATTTCTAACACAAGCTATTGAAATTTATGGAAGAGATCTACAGAAATATACTGAGATACATATAAAATAATACATTTTCCAGACTGCTTTAAATGGATTATCAAAGATCACCTAGGTGTCTGAACACACAAGCCTTCCCAAGGCACTGATTACATGTACTGTACTAAAGGAAAACTGAGTTCTTTCTCACACTCTACCACCTGTGATAAAACCTTTTTTTTTTTTTTTTTTTTTTTTTGAGACAGGGTTTCACCATGTTGTCCAGGATAGCCTCAAATTCCTGGACCCAAGTGATCCTCCTGTCTCCACCTCCCAAGTAGCTGAGACTACAGGCATGCACCACAGCACCTGACTTAAAACATTTTAAATGAAAACTATTTGTTTTCCAATGGTTTAAAAAAAAAATTAGAAATCAAAACCAACAAGTACTTACCCCCGCTGACAGAGATATTAAATGTTCCTCCAGATGAGGGTAGAAATTCAGATTCTTCTTTTTCCTCTTTAATGTGCTAAAGAGATTTAAAAAAAAGCAATAATTTAGCCAGAATAAACCTGTGGAATGATTTGCTGACAAAAAAAAAATTATACATGACTCTTTTATCTACAGACTAGATGATATACCAAGTTATTCCTGAAAAGTTCTCAGATACAAGTTTATAGAGTAAGATCTACCACTTCCCTAAATATTATCTCCCATTATACGATCATAAATAAAATGCAAGGTCATGAAGAAAACTAGTTAAACAGGCTAGGCACAGTGGCTCATGTCTGTAATCCCACTACTTTAGGAAGCCGAGGCTGGCAGATCACTTGAGGTCAGAAGTTCAAGACCAGCCATGCCCAACATGGTGAAATCCATATTTACTAAAAACACAAAAATTAGCCAGGCATGATGGTGCATGCCTGTAATCACAGGTACTCGAGAGGCTGAGGCAGGAGAATCACTGAACCTGGGAGGTGGAGGTTACAGTGAGCCAAGATCATGCTACTGTACTCCAGCCTGGGTGACAGAGCAAGACTCATCTCAAAAGAAAAAATAAAAAAACACTATTAAACAAACTAACATGTACATATTCCTTACTGGTATCTCAGTAATGAAGCTGAAGAATCTTTGTTTCCTTAGATAACTATGAGTGGCCCAAAATACACAAAATATAGTTTTAAATTCTGTTGTTTTTAAATTTTAAAACAAACCTACTTTTACACATCTAGTAATTACTGTCCACTGGATTTGATTATAAGGTGACTGTGTGTTTTGGGTTTTTTTTTGTTTTCTGTTTTTTTGCTTTTGTTGTTGTTGCCCAGGCTGGAGTGCAATGGTGAGATCTCGGCTCACTGCATGTAACCTCTGCCTTCCAGTTTCAAGCGATTCTCCAGTCTCCTGAGTAGGTGGGATTATAGCCACCATGCCCGGCTAATTTTTCTATTTTTAGTAAAGACGGGGTTTCACCATGTTGGCCAGGCTGGTCTTGAACTCCTGACCTCATGATCTGCCCACCTCAGCCTCCTAAAGTGCTGGGATTACAGGTGTGAGCCACTGCATCCAGCCAGGTATTTTTGTTTTAACTGAATCACTAAAAAAGGAAATGAAAAAAAATAATAACTTGGTAACCACAGTATAAAAGCAATATAAGTATATTATTTAATGAATACATTTAAATTCAAGTATACATTTTGTTTTCACTCAAATTAGTGATACCTGGAACAGCGGGTTAGTATGATAAAAATATATATACAGTTCTGTTATAAATTTCTGAGACTATCTGCAAGACTGATTAAAAATAAACTCAATGCTTTCTTTTTTTTTTTTTGAGACAGAGTTTCACTCTTGTTACCCAGGCTGGAGTGCAATGGCGCGCTCTCGGCTCACCGCAACCTCCGCCTCCTGGGTTCAGGCAATTCTCCTGCCTCAGCCTCCCGAGTAGCTGGGATTACAGGCACGTGCCACCATGCCCAGTTAATTTTTTTTTTTTGTATTTTTAGTAGAGACGGGGTTTCACTATGTTGACTGGGATGGTCTCGATCTCTCGACCTCGTGATCCACCCGCCTCGGCCTCCCAAAGTGCTGGGATTACAGGCTTGAGCCACCGCGCCCGGCCGTCAATGCTTTCTTTAGAAGAAATATAATGGAGGCATTTTGCTGGCAAATCATTTTAAATGCTTTCTCTTCCATGCATAAAAATTCAAAAGAAGACAAAAATATATCAGAGGTTTAAAGAAAAACACAGCTTTCTTACATTAGATGAACTATCTATCTTCTGTGCTGTTATTTACACATCTGAATGTAAACATCTAGTATTCAAGGTCAGTGGCATTTTAGAACTGGGTAATTTTAATGCAGAGTACAGCACTGCACCATCTGTAAATATGCTTAATTATTAATGTTGATGATTACAGGAGAATATCTATAACGTTAATTCCCTTTCCCCAACTAAAGAGAAGCATTTTGAAATTTAAAAACTCAAAGAAATTGAGAATTTAACTTATTCACATTAAGGAATAAATCAGAGATAGTGATCTAATTACATTTACTAACAAACCTGCATAAAAATACTTTTCCTTTTTTTAACTCGATATTTGAATTTGCTTTCTAGAAACTATTTGTGGGCTTCTGAAATATATAAAAAGCCAAAAAATGCACAATTTATTAGGTACTGAGTGCCTTCAGTGAGTAAGCTATGAAACAAATAGCTATTAAGATAAAGGGGGAAGATTTTACCTCCTTAAACACACTTTTTCACAAAACCAAATGTGCACACTGATTACTGTTATTTCATTAAATGCATACTTTTCTTACCTATTATTCATGAGTGCATTCCCAAATGGTCTTCTATTTGATAATACGTAGTTAATCTAGTTGTACATACATGAAAGTACATTCCGCCATGTATCCTACAATTCTGTCTAAATTTGGCCAATATTTGTTCTTTTTTTTTTTCTTTTTAAGATGAGGTTTCTCCATTTTGGTCAGGTTGGTCTTGAACTCTCGACCTCAGGTGATCCACCCACCTCGGCCTCACAAAGTGCTGGGATTATAGGCATTAGCCACCACAACCAGCCTTTTTTTTTTTTTTTTTAAATTAGACAGGGTCTTGTTTTGTCACCCAGGCTGAAATGCAATGATGCAATCTTAGCTTACTGCAACCACAAACTCTAGGGCTCAAGTTATCCTCCTACCTCAGCCTCCCAAATAGCTACAACTATAGGCATGTGCCACCATGCCTAATTTTTAACGTTTTTGGAGATGGGGTCTCACTACGTTGTCCAGGCTAGTCTTGAACTCCTAAGCATCAAGTGATCTTCCCACCTTGGCCTCCCAAAGAGCTGTGACTACAGGCGTGAGCAACTATCATGCCTGGCCTAGTTCAAATTTTTAGTAAGATTTTATCCATATCCTATATTCCCTTGTTCATTAACATCTAGTAAATCCACTTCTAAGAAAACTGATTTTTGTAATCATCTTGTAATAGACTAAATTTACTGATGAATCATTTTTATAACTTAGTAAAAAATTATATAAAACATTCCATAGTCAAGGTAACACAAAGAACAATGAAAAAGCCAAAGATGAGATGAGAAGCAAGAACTTGTTGATTAATTTTTCAAGACAGAAAGCAAGAAAAGTAATTATAGATTTCTTCATTAGTAGTTAAAAAAAGAAACCCAGAAAATTAAATGGAAAAATCAATGATATAACTCTGTGTGCAAGGACTCTTCTTAATTCTTTACAAAAATTATCAACTAAGAACACATTTATTGAAAATCATGACAGTAAGTTTAATGAAATTGTTTACTTCAACTCCATGTTCAGTACTAATTCAGAAGCCTATGCCACTGACAGTTGGCCCAAAATAATAGGCCAAGAAAAAACATTAACTTTACATGCAATGCAGTGTGGATTTCTGAATAAAATCTCTTTTCAGTTTGACATCTTGATAGCCATCTGACCAAATTATGTTAATCTCACATCAAATGTTAGTTTTAAGCCATATAATTCAGAAACAAGGTTGGAGAACTAAGTGTTTGGAGATATTTCTGTCAGTACAGGTAAACAGATTCCTCCCTAAACATCTCAAAGAGAACAATTTATTTCAACCTCATTTTGCCACAAGTAGTCAAGAAAATTTTCCTTATTTTAATGTGAGATACACAAATATCACAAATTTGTCTGATATAATATGGAAAAAAAATAAGTACCTCTCCCAAGAGCTGCTCTTCAGCAGCAGGGCTCGCCTCCCCATCACTCTGTGCTACTTGGTCAGAGTCTTTAAGAGCCTTTGGTACACAAAACAATTACAGGGGAAGGTGAAGAATGTAGCATTAAAAGGTTATTAGTGAACAAGGAAGACAAAAGCCCCAACCAACAACATTCAAAGCTGGTTTAATTATAAGAAGCAACAGTGAGTAAATTTATTTGAGAAACACTATTAGAGGAAAAGCAAAGAATTATTATTGCTAACACTTTCCCATTCTTTCCTACCAATTTTTTCCCTGGAAAATGAAAAAATACTTATCTTAAGTATTTGAGTAGTCATTAATTGTTTTTCTTCCTTTACAAAATTTAAATACGTATGTCAAGAGAAAGAAATGCTCTACCAGCTAAGCACATGTTATTTTAAAACGAGAATTATTAATTTTTTTTTTGAGATGAAATTTTGCTCTTGTTGCCCAGGCTGGAGTGCAATGGCGCGATCTCGGTTCACCACAACCTCCACCTCCTGGGTTCAAGCGATTCTCCTGCCTCAGCCTCCCAAGTAGCTGGGATTACAGGCATGTGCCACCATGCCCAGCTAATTTTGTATTTTTAGTAGAGATGGGGTTTCTCCATTTTGGTCAAGCTGGTCTCAAAGTCCCGACCTCAGGTGATCCACCCACCTCGGCCTCCCAAAGTGCTGGAATTATAGGCATCAGCTACCATGCCCAGTCGAGAATTACTGACTTATTGAGGTATCTAGAATAAGCATTTATTTTTATACCATGAAGCATAAAACACACATTTCTTAAATAATTCCTTCTTTGTTATGACCTAGCCAAAGTTTTAGAAGGTAGCTATTTTTAAAGGCCTTCTTACCACACTGGTTCCATCCACTTTGTTCAAGGCCAAAGCAATCTGAAATAAAAATAACAGCTCACCTACTACATGGAATTCTATTTCAGAGCATCCAGCAAATGTTCACCTCTTGCTTCTCAATGGCAAAAATCTATACAGGTTCTTATAGGAATAGTATGTTTAAAAAAAAAAAAAAAACAATAAAAGCTGTGCAGAACTGGTTCTTTGTGGTTCTAGCTTCTTTCACATGGAAGGACTTAGAAATAATCTGACAATCATTCTATTTCCTCATTTTTTGCCATCAGGCATGCAGTAAAACTTTCATATTAATCTCTTACAAGCCTAAAAAAGTTATAGCCTCAAGAAGTTTAGACTACTAATAAAGTTAAATACAAAACTCTAAAGGAGTGAGCTAAGACACAGTCTCTAAGCAGTGGGGCTGTGATGTGATCTTACTTCTGTCTGACATCAAAAGAGCACTAATCTTCAATATGCACCTAGAGCGCACAGTACACCTCTACCACATAGGCAACAACCTGCCATGCTATAGAAAACTCTAGTCATTTCCAAAGAATGATGAAGGGCTAATACAAGTTACACAGACATTTAGCTATAGCGATATATGTATATGTATACATATCTACACACACACACACACACACACACACACACACACACACGCAGACAAAACTCTGGCAACCACTGTGGGTAATGATGGAGAAAAAGAAAAAGGAAAAAAATAAAAACCGATGGCAACCGAACACAAATTATTATTAAATGTTTACTGGGTGATTTGAGATAATCTGTATAGAACTTAATTTTTTAAAAGTTTCATTCATAAATAGCATGCCATCAAACTTTCCCAAAAGTTTACCTTCTTTCCCAGATCTTCTTTTCTATATCCTAGAAGTTCAAGGTATTTTCCACGAGAATCATCCTCAAAGTTCACCTTTTAAAAAAAGACATATTCTTAAAAACAACAAATTTAAAGGCCAAATTTTCATAAGAATGAATCAAATTCCAAAGAGAATTATTAAAAATATGTGAAGTTTGGGGCCGGGCGCGGTGGCTCAAGCCTGTAATCCCAGCACTTTGGGAGGCCGAGGCGGGTGGATCACAAGGTCGAGAGATCGAGACCAACCTGGTCAACATGGTGAAACCCCGTCTCTACTAAAAATCCAAAAAAAATTAGCTGGGCATGGTGGCGCGTGCCTATAATCCCAGCTACACAGTAGGCTGAGGCAGGAGAATTGCCTGAACCCAGGAGGCAGAGGTTGCGGTGAGCCGAGATCGTGCCATTGCACTCCAGCCTGGGTAACAAGAGCAAAACTCCGTCTCAAAAAAAAAAAAAAAAAAAAAAATATGTGAAGTTTATGTCCTAAAGATTCACTGTTAGAAAGAATCCAAAGAATAGTGGGTTTTTAAATTTTTTATTTAGTGACCCAGCCTCAGGACGTCCTGAGAACATGTATGCAGAATATTTTTTTTAAATAAGTTATTTTTTAATAGTAAATATACTAGTAATTAATTATCCTGCTTAAATAAAGGTTAATTTTGAACAGTAATTTTTGTAAATACAAACTTATATCCAAAGGTTAAATGGATACAAAATTCAAGCTATGTAATACATTCTATGTCCTAAAATTCTTTCCAAAATTATTACAAAATATAAATCCTTTAATTTTAGACTTTAACCTAACCGTATTCAAGACTGCTTTACCTTTTCCAGAATCAGTACTGTATAAGGAAGTAGACACTCCAGTGGAGGAAAATGACCAACCAGGAAATCCTATTTGTTATTCTATTCTAACTCCTCTTAAAGTAAAAGGAAAAATACCTCCAACCTCCCTCTTCCATTCCTCTTCCTCTTTTTAATTTTTTTGAGACAGAGTCTTGCTCTGTTGCCAGCCTGGAGTGCAGTGGCGCAATCTCAGCTCACTGCAACCTCCGCCTCCTGGATTCAAGTGATTCTGCTGCCTTGGCCTCCGGAGTAGCTGGGACCATAGACGCGTGCCACCACGTCCGGCTAATTTTTGTATTTTTAGTAGAGACAAGGTTTCACCATGTTGGCCAGGATGGTCTTGATCTCTTGATCTCGTGATCCGCCCACCTCAGCCCCTCCCAAAGTGCTGGGATTACAGGCGTGAGCCACCGCGCCCAGCCTCCTCTTCCTCTTTTTCCATTTTCCTTAACTAGATCTATATAGACATTAAATATTCTATGTTTTGTTTTGTTTTGTTTTTTTTGGGACGAAGTTTCGCTCTTGTTACCCAGGCTGGAGTGCAATGGCGTGATCTTGACTCACCGCAACGTCCGCCTCCTGGGTTCAGGCAATTCTCCTGCCTCAGCCTCCTGAGTAGCTGGGATTACAGGCACGTGCCACCATGCCCAGCTAATTTTTTGTATTTTTAGTAGAGACGGGGTTTCACCGTGTAGACCAGGATGGTCTTGATCTCTTGACCTCGTGATCCACCCGCCTCGGCCTCCCAAAGTGCTGGGATTACAGGCTTGAGCCACCGCGCCCGGCCTTCTATGTTTTTATTATAGTAAACTCTGTGCACTAATCTTCAAAATAGATGTGATGTGATGTCTCTTTCCCCTAAATAGATTTTTTTTTTAACTTATTAAAGAAGTATTTCGTATTACACTTTTCAAAATAGAGAAGAAAAATCTCTGGACATAAGTTAGGTTATATGCTCTTTATAAGGTTTCTTAATTTCAATGATGAATTCCTGAAATCACACTTTCAATTGTTTCTTTAATAGGAAAACAGATTTAGAATATAATGGGAACAGTTAAATTAGCAGGTAATGAAATAATATGGCTTTAAATACCAACTTTACCTTCAAAAAGGACCACACATTTTTCTCAAATTCAGTCTGAGAAGCATCAATTTTTTTTTGGCAATAATTGATAAATCCTTGTGACTGCACAGCCTGCTGAAGTTGGTCTGATCGGCTCAGGAACTCCTTTTCTGTTACAACCTGACTAATGAACACATGGTGGTGCTGCTGCTGCTGTTGCTCAGCTCCCTGATGAGAAGGCATTCTGACATTCTCAAATGTAACCAGTTTGCCTCCAAACTGTAAGAGAGTGAATGAACAAACTTGTGTTATCACAAGGATATGGCCCAAAAAGTGCTTTGAAAGTAGCCTAAACATATAATCTGGATAAAATTAGCTAATACAACCTCTCATGCACCACAGCCTGACGCCCCTTCAATTTCTGTTCTAGACTTTTTATTTATTTATTTATTGACAGAGTTTCACTTAGTCACCCAGGCTGCAGTGCAAAGGCAGGATCTTGGCTCACTACAACCTCCGCCTCCTGGGGTCTAGCAATTCTCCTGCCTCAGCCTCCTGAGGAGCTGGGATAACAGGCGCTCGCCACTATGCCTGGCTAATTTTTGTATTTTTAGTAGAGACGGGGTCTTGCCATGTTGTCCAGGCTGGTCCCGAACTCCTGACCTCAAGTGATCCAACCAGATAGAGAAGACCAGATAGGACAGTAAGATTAAGTAGATTGAATGAATGAACTTATGAGTGACATAAAACATACTCAAAGGTCTATTTTAGGAAGATTAATCTTGCAGTATGTAGTACAGATTAGAGGGGAAAAAGACAAGCAACAGATATGCAATCAAGCTATTAGAAGTCTGGTGTGAAAAGATGAAGAAATTAGGCGAAGTATCAGCAACATAAAAGGAAGAACAGAAAAACAAAAGTGCTAGAGAGATGCAGAGAAACTAGAACCCTTGTGCATCATTAGTGAGAATGTAAAATGGTAAAGCTGCTATAAAACAGTATGGAAGTTCTTTTAAAACTTAAAAATAGAACCACCGGGCCGGGCGCAGTGGCTCATGACTGTAATCCCAGCACTTTGGGAGGCCGAGGCGGGTGGATCACGAGGTCAAGAGATCGAGACCATCCTGGTCAACATGGTGAAACCCGTCTCTACTAAAAATACAAAAAAATGGGCATGGTGGCGCATGCCTGTAATTCCAGCTACTCAGGAGGCTGAGGCAGGAGAATTGCCTGAACCCAGGAGGCGGAGGTTGCGGTGAGCCGAGATTGCACCATTGCACTCCAGCCTGGGTAACAAGAGTGAAACCCTGTCTCAAAAAAAAAAAAAAAAAAAAATAGAACCACCATATGATCCAGCAATTCCATTTCTGGGTTTATATCCCAAAAATTGAAAACAGGATGTCAAAATGATAATTCCATACCCATGTTCACCATAGCATTTATTCACAATAGCCAAAAGGTGGACGCAACCAAAATGACCATCAAATTAATAGATAATGAAAATGTGGTATATATATACAATGCAGTATTATTCAGCCTCTAAAAAGGAGGAAATTCTGTCATACCACCACACAGATGAACCTTGAGGACATTAGGCTAAGTAAAATAAGCCAGCCACAAAAAGACGAGTACTGCATGATTCCATTTATACGACTAATTTAAAGTAGTAAAACTCCTAGCAGTTAAGTAGATTGTGGTTACCAGGAATTCAGGGAATAGAGGAAATGGGGAGCTGTTGCTCGAGGGCACAGAGTTTCAGTTTTGCAAGATGAAAAAGTTCTAGAGATCTGTTGCACAACGTGTACATAGTTAACACTACTGTAGCGTATACTTAAAAATGGTGCCAGGTGCAGTGGCTCATATGGCTGGGTGCGGTGGCTCATGCCTGTAATCCCAGAACTTTGGGAGGCAGAGGTAGGTGGAGCACCTGAGGTCAGGAGTTCCAGACCAGCCTGGTCAACATAGTAAAACCCTGTCTCTACTAAAAATACAAAAAAAAAATTAGCCAGGCGTAGTGGTGGGTACCTGTAATTCCAGCTACTTGGGAGGCTGAGGCAGGAGAATTGCTTGAACCCAAGAGGCAGAAGTTGCAGATAACCAAGATTGCACCATAGCACTCCAGACTGAGCAACAGGAACGAAACTCTGTTTCAAATAAAAAAAAAAAAAAAAAAGCTGGGCACAGTGGCTCATAACTGTAATCCCAGTACTTTGGGAGGCTGAGGCAGGAGAATCACTTGAACCCAGGAGGCAGAGGTTGCAGTGAGCCAAGATTGCACCATTGTACTCCAGCCTGAGCAACAGGAGCATAACTCTGTTTCAAAAAAAAAAAAAGCTAGGTATGGTAGTCATACCTGTAATCTCAGCACTGTGGGAGGCTGAGGCAGGCGGATCACCGGGTCTGGAGTACAAGGCCAGAGCGACCAACCAACCAACATGGTGAAACCCCATCTCTACTAAAAATACAAAAAATTAGCCAGGCATGGTGGCGTGCACCTGTAATCCCAGCTACATGGGAGGCTGAGGCAGGAGAATCACTTGAACCCAGGAGGTAGAGGTGGCAGTGAGCCAAGATCATGGCACTGTACTCCAGCCTGGGCAACAGAGCGACACTCCATCTCAAAAACAAAACAGAACAAAAATGGTTGTAGTGTTATGTTTAAAAATAGTTAAGATGGTAAATTTTATGCTATGTATTTTTTACAATTAAAAAAGGCTGGCAATTAAAAAAGAAAGCTAAAAGGACGAATAGGAGGAAGGACCTCCTTGTCAAAAGAACAGAATGAAAAGTAAAAAGAAAAGAGAAGACGGTAGGGGAAGGAGGGAGGGAAGAAAGACAAATTTACAAAAAAGGGAGGAACATAAAGAGTGTTGATGGTAACACAACAATGTAAATGTACTTAATGCCACTGAACTGTACATTTAAAAATGGTTAAAATGATAAATTTTCTGTATATTGGTATGATTTTTAAAAAAGGGGGAAAAAGGAGTAGGTTCCAGTTTTTTAGAGAAACCATTTTGAATGATGAAATATCCACAAATACACCTCAAATCCCAACTTAAACCCCGACTTCCTCCATCAGAGTGATCCTATGATAACATTTTGGTATTAAAAAGTCCGTTGTGTCTACGGACCATAAAAACAAAATCCACATACTGAAAAAGAAGCACCGACAGGTCTTCGAATCCACTTGGGTGGCTTCTTCAGAGGCAGCACTATACTATGCTGAGCAGTCTGCTGTGGAATTTGCAATGGAGGAAGGGGTTGTCCTGTGCCAAAGGGATCAAGATTCCCAAAAGATGATGAAAGCTAAAAAAGATAATAACATCAGAAACTGACCATACACAAACTATGCTTCATTTTTTTCCAGTCACATCCAAGAAATTCTTTGATCACAATTATCCAATTAACCAGCATTGTTAATCAGTGAAGTCATTTCAAAATAATTACACAATACATACTTTTCAGGCATTATAATAGAAAACTTTAATACTTCCTATTACCTTGTCAACTTGTTTCTGCCTTAATCCATCTGTGCTCCCTCCCATGATAGAATAAACACTGATACGCCCGTCAAACGAAGCAGCTGATAAGACAGCAGGATTTCGGGGACACCACTGAATATCAAAGCACCACTGTGTGTTGGTGGGAAGTTCATATAACACCTAGGCCAACAAAAACCAAACAACAAATTCAGAAAAAAGGCATGGCCACTTTGTAACCAAAATACCTGAATTAATGTGGTCAACAAGTACAGCTAAATTTTAAAAAATTTTTATAGAAAGTGTCTTTAGCCAGAAACAAGAGTGGATACATTTGAAAGGGTGGCATACTTTATTAGTCAATTTGGTGGGTTTTTGTTTTGTTTGTTTGTTTTTTGAGACAGAAGTCTCGCTCTGTGGCCCAGGTTGGAGTGCAATGGCAGTGACCCCAGCTCACTGTGACCTTTGCCTCCTGGGCTCAAGCAATTCTCCTGCCTCAGCCTCCCAAGTAGCTAGGATTACAGGCGCCTGCCATCGCACACAGCTAATTTTCGTATTTTCAGTAGAGACAGGGTTTCACCATGTTGGCCAGGCTGATCTCGAACTGCTGACCTCAAGTGATCCACCTGTTTCAGCCTCCAAAATGCTGGGATTACAGGCGTGAGCCACCACGCCCGACCTAGACTCACCTTTTTAAACTCTAAAAGATCAGTAATATCCTATCCAATTGTTTTTCTCTGATTAAGACCCAAACAACCATATTTAGATTACTTTAGGATCAACTTTTAAAATCAATCTTGAGAAGGAAGAATTCACTAAGAAATGTGACTTTTAGGGCCGGGCGCGGTGGCTCAAGCCTGTAATCCCAGCACTTTGGGAGGCCAAGGCGGGTGGATCACAAGGTCAAGAGATCCAGACCATCCTGGTCAACATGGTGAAACCCCGTCTCTACTAAAAATACAAAAAATTAGCTGGACATGGTGGCGCGTGCCTGTAATCCCAGCTACTCAGGAGGCTGAGGCAGGAGAATTGCCTGAACCCGGGAGGCGGAGGTTGTGGTGAGCCAAGATCGTGCCATTGCACTCCAGCCTGGGTAACAAGAGCGAAACTCCGCCTCAAAAAAAAAAAAAAAAAAAAAAGAAATTTGACTTTTATCAAGAGAGAAAACATGTACTGTACACACCCCTCCTATCACAGCAGAATCCTAATAGCATCTGGATTAACAGCTTCTTTTAGAAAGAAAAGGACATAGAAAGAACTATAGAAAATGGCCTATATGAGGCCAGGAATAATGCTCACGCCTATAATCTTAGCACTTGGGAGGCTAAGGTGGGCAGACCGCTTGAGCCCAGGAGTTCAAGACCAGCATGGGAAACATGGCGAAACCCCACCTCTACAAAAAAAATTTAAAATTGGGGAGTGGGGGGTGGCAGGGAACATAAAAAAAAAAATTTGGGGCCAGGTATGGTGGTGCACGCCTGTAATCCCTGCTATCTGGGAGGCTGAGGTGAGAGGGCTGACTGAGCCTGGGACGTCAAGGTTTCAGTGAGCCATTATGGTACCACTGCATTCCAGCCTGGGTGACAGTAAAACCCTAACAAAAAATAGTAATAGTAATAAACAAACAAATAGAAAATGGCTTATATGAAATCTTTACAATGTAAAGCTTGTTGTGAATTCAAAGTTAGTATGGTGGTTAACTGCTATTCAAAGAAGCAACATCTTAGGACTTTATGGTAAGTCAAATGAACTTAACTCTGGCTTCATGTGACCTTTTTTTCTTTTTTCTTTCTTTTTTTTTTTCAGACAGGGTCTCACACCGATGACTAGGCTGGAGTGCAATGGTGCAATCTTAGCTCACTGCAGTCTTGACCTCCTGGGCTCAAGTGATCCTCCCACCTCAGCCTCCCAAGTAGTTGGGACTACAGGCACATGCCACCACAGCCAGCTAATTTTTGTATTTGTTGTGGAGATGGGGTTTTGCCAGCCTGCCTTGGCCTCCCAAAGTGCTGAGATTACACCTGACCCATGTGACATTTAAAATGTTTTATTTTATTAAAAAAATAGAATTAATTGAAAAGGTAATTAGCGATTTCATGTCTTTGGTACTTATTTTGGTTCATAAGGTATGCAGTTTGAGAATACTTAAATCATTTATCTATTCCTTATTTATATTTCAACAAAATCTAATTTTTTAGTGTAGCACATACTACAAGTCTCTTCCTTCAAAGTCAAAGCAAACACAACTAATCACAGGTAAAAATTTATTTTCTTAAGTTACATAACAGAGAAAATCATGACAAAATAGTAAGTTCCAAGAATTCTGAATTTACCTAGCAAGGCAGAGTATAAAATTAAGATTTCTGTTATTTGTCCTAAATGATATGTGGTAAAATTTATTACTTTTTTCTCTTGTCTCCCCTAACTTTAATGATTTTATATTCTTACACTGTTAAATCCACAACTTTTAAACCAGAAACCAAATAATTAAAGGGCTTGTTTTAATTTTAACAATATAGATGAAAACTTATCGAAGACACTCATTTTTATTAGCATTCCATCAAACTACATAATCACTAGCAATAATCTAACTTAACATAAAAAAGGTAAAAATATAAAAGCTATAATTTATATTCTTGCTTTATCATTCAGAAGAGAGATTGGAAAACTGTATCTACCGATTTCCAGAAGTGAAAGAGGATCCTCAGGAATGGTAAAGCAGGCAAAAGATGCAAACCTTGAGCAATCCTACATCGAAGATAACTGATTTCCATAAACCACATGTGAAATAAATCAAAGTATTTCTGAGTCTAGGTCATAAACACATTATTGGAAATGAGGAGGGGATGATTACTAGTTTCAAATATATCATTTTCAATTACTGATTTTTCTGGTTAAAAAGCTGAGCTTAGATAATGTTCCTGATAAAATTTCTGCCAAATAAACACTGCACACACACCTCCACATACTTTTCACATAGTAAGCCACTAAAGAATCCACATAGAAAATTTCTTATATAGCCAGAAGTAATATACTACAAGGGCTACAAGGTTGAGAAACATTTCTTCCCCATACCTCTCCTGTGTTTGGATTGGAGCAGAGAATCTTAGCATCTTTTCCACAGCTCAATAACAATTCGGGATCAGCCATGCTCCAAGCAATTGCCAAAATCCCCCTATAAAAAACATAAAGCAACAGTGAAATTTTTAATCTTGAGAAAACCAAATCTCAATTATTTCTGCCTAAGCTTTGGAGATTCACACAATAACAGAAATACAATTAAATGTAAGAGTTTTAACACCGGGCATGTTGGTTCACACCTGTAATCTTAGCTACTTGGGAAGCTGAGGTGGAATTACTTCAGTCTGGGAGGCAGAAGCTGCAGTGAGCTGAGATCACACCACTGCACTTCAGCCTGGGCAACAGAGTGAGTGAGATGCCATCTCACTCAAAAATAAAATAAAATTTAAAAAGAAAAAGAAATAAGTGTAATAGTTTCAGAAGACAACTTAGTAATGTATATGCTATCTGATCATAACAAAGACATAGATGTTCAATATAGTACAATGTATGATAGCAAAAAAATGAAAACAAATGCCCAAGAGACTATTTCATAATAAATTATAGACCACCTTTCAATGAGAAAATGTGTAAATAAAAATTATTCTGTATACTCTGGGAGGCCAAGGCAGGAGGAGTGCTTGAGGCCAGGAATTCAAGACCAACCTGGGCAATATAACAGCACTCTGTCTCTACCAAAAAATTTGAAAATTAGCCAGGTATGGCAGTGTGTGCTTATAGTTCCAGGCATACTCATGAAGCTGAGGTAGGAGGATTACTTGAGCTCAGAAGCTCATGGCTGCAGTGAGCTATGATGACACCACTGTACTCTATCCTGGGCAAATAAGCAAGACCCATTTCAAAAAATACACATATCATTTTGTGGAAATCAACTTCTTATCATTACACAGCATTCATGATTAATGAAAAAAGTTATCTATATGCACAAATTATCCCATTTGTATAAAAAGTATATTGGGATTACACACACACACACACACACACACACACACACCCCTTAGATATGTATAGTAAAATGTTTATCTATGGATAGGTATGAAATCTAACTGCAGTTAAGTCCTTACTTAATTTGGAAACTGTGACTTTAAACAAAACAACAGATAACAATACCAATTTTACCACAGACTAACTGATAACTGATATGAACATTAAGTTCCTATGGTAGCCAGGCATGGTGTTTCATGCCTGTAATCCCAACACTTTGGAAGGCTAAGGAGGGTGGATCACTTGAGGTCAGAAGTTTGAGACCAGCCTGGCCAACATAGTGAAACCTCATCTCTGCTAAAGCTATAAAAATTAGCTGGATGTGGTGGCACCTGCCAGTAATCCCAGCTACTCAGGAGGCTGAGGCAGGAGAATTGCTTGAACCTGAAAGGCGGAGGCTGCAGTGAGCCGAGATCTTGCCACTGCACTCCAGCCTGAGCCACCGAGGAAAACTCTATCTAAAAAAAAAATAGTTCCTATATTTCTGATCACAAAAACATTACCAAATTTCTAAATAAAGATCTACAACACTTTTAATATTAAATGCTGAAATAAATGTGACCTATATAAATTTTGAGAAAGATTAATAAAAACAAGATTTACCCAATTTTTGGTGATTCAGTAAATGACACTGGTTGTAGTGGCAGTGGATGGATTAAATCAAGAAATAAGTTTACAAAGTGAAAATTGTCAGGCTTCTACTTACCAAACAAAAAAAAATGACAGACGCGATGATTAATTTTATACCATATTGTTTACTGCCATGAATTTCTATGATCATCATGTATGTTACAAATTTTTATTTTATAGTATTTTGTATTCATTCATTTTCCAACCTGGTTATTCTAGTTCTGGATCGCAGGTGGCCAGAGCCCATCATGGCAGCTCAGAGTGCAAATTGGGAACAAACCCTGGACAGGACACTATTCCATTACAGGGCCCACTCACACACACTCCAACACTTTTCATACTGGGATAAATGTAGACATACCAATTAGCCATTTCAGAGTTAGTCTGCAGATATCATGATACATCATCCCTACACTTACCTTCTGGGATAAGAACATTCTCCTACATAATTATACATTCATATATAGGAATGTATTTATTATTGGCCAGGAACAGTGGCTCACACCTGCAATCCCATCACTTTGGGAGGCAAAGGCAGGTGGATCACAAGGTCAGGAGTTCAAGACCAGCCTGGTCAATATGATGAAGCCCCGTCTCTACTAAAAATACTAAAATTAGTTGGGGATGTTGGCACATGCCTGTAATCCCAGCTACTCAGGAAGCTGAGGAAGAATAATTGCTTGAACCCAGGAGACGGAGGCTGCAGTGAGCCGAGATCAGGCCACTGTATTCCAGCCTGGGTGACAGCCTGGGTGAATATGAACTATATATTAAAAATAGCATTGCATATCAATAATGTCTTTTTTTTCCCCAAGACTCTGGAAGGGAAAAAGTATTTATTATTGATATGCAATGCTATTTTTAATATATAGTCCATATTCAAATTTCCTCATTATATCAATAATGTACTTTATAACTGCCTCCTACTCCAGAATACAATCATGCACGTCAAGAACTTCAAGGTATATAAATTCTATCAGATATTGGTGTCAATCCTACTCAAACTATTTCAAAAGACTTACAAAGAGGGAATCTTCCCTAACTCATTACATGAAGCCAGAATCACTGATACAAAAAGCTAGGAAAAGACATAACAAAAAAAGAAAACTACAGACCAATATCCCTAATGAACATGGATGCAAAAATCCTCAACAAAATACCAGCAAACAAAATCGAACAGCACATCAAACAGATACTACACCATGATCAAAAAGTGGGTTTCATCCCAAGGATGCAGGGATGGTTCAACACACATAAGTCAATAAATGTGATTCATCACATAAACAGAATTAAAAACAAAACTCATATGGTCATCTCAATAGATGCAGAAAAAGCATCTGATAAAATACAGCGTCTCTTTATGATAAAAACTCTCAACAAACTAGGCAAAGGAAGAACATATCTCAAAATAATAAAAAGCCATATATAACAACATAACAACATCATACTGAATGGGGAAAAGTTGAAAGCACCTCGCCATAATACTGGAACAAAACAAGGATGCCCACTTCCAGCACTCTTTCCAGTTTCCATTCAACACAGTACTGAAAGTGATAGCCAAAGCAATCAGGCAATAAAAAGAAAGAGCATCCAAACTGTAAATAAATATGGAAGTCAAACTACCTCTGTTGATGATATCACTGCATACCTAGAAAACCCTAAAGATTCCTCCAAAAGACTCCTAGATTGGACAAATAAACTCAATAAGGTCTCAGGTAACAAAATCAATACACACAAATTAGTAGCACTGCTGTATACCAACAGCAACCAACCTGAGAGTCAAATCAAGAACTCAATCCCTTTTATGACAGCTGCAAAAATAAAATACTTAGGAATATACTTAACCAAGGAGGTGAAAAATCTCTACAAGAACTATAAAATACTGCTGAAAGAAATCAGAGATAACACAAATAAATAGAAATACTTCCTATGCTCAGGGACTGGAAGAATCAGTGCTGTGAAAATGACCTTACTGCCCAAAGAAACCTACAGATTCAATACAATTCCCATCAAAGTACCAACATTTTTCACAGAATTAGAAAAAACAGTCCTAAAATTCATACGAAACCAAAGAAGAGCCGAAATAGCCAAAGTAATCCTAAGCAAAAAGAACAAAGCTAGAGGTATCACATTACCTGACTTCAAATTATACTACAAGGCTATAGGAACAAAAATGGCATGGTCTTGGTATAAAAGTTGATCCACAGGGCAATGGAACAAAACAGAGAACCTAGAAATAAAGTCAAGTACTTACAACCAACTGACCTTCAACACAACATATAATGGATTAAAGACTTAAACCTAAGACTAGAAACTATAAAAGTTCTAGAAGAAAACCTAGGAAAAACTCTTCTGGAAATTGGCCTAGGCAAAGAATTTATGACTAAGATCCCAAAAGCAAATTCAACAAAAACAAAAATAGATAAATGAGAGCTAACTAAACCAAAAAGCTTAAGCACAGCAAAAGAAAGAAACGTTATTGTAAACAGACAACCCACAGACTAGTAGAAAATATTTATAAATTCTGCATCTGACAAAGGATTCTGGGTATTAACCCAGAATCTATAAGAAACTCAAACCAACCAGCAAGAAAAGAAAACAAATAATCCCATGGGCAGATGACATAGATAGATACTTCTCAAAAGAAGATACATAGGTTGGGCACAGTGGTTAATGCCTGTAATACTAGAACTTTTGCAGGCTGAGGTGGGTGGATCACCTGAGGCCAGGAGTTTGAGATCAGCCTGGCCAACATAGTGAAACACCTAACAAAATTACAAAAATTGGCCAGGCATGGTGGTGTGTGCCTGTCGTCTCAGCTACTCAAAAGGCTGAGACAGGAGAATTGCGTGAACCCAGGAGGCAGAGGCTGCAGTGAGCTGAGACTGCACCATTGCACTCTAGCCTGGTGACAGAGTGAAATTCAAAAAAGAAGATACAAAAATGGCCAAAAAACATATGAAAAAATGCTCAACATCACTAATCACCAAGGGAATGCAAATTAAAACTACAACGAGATGCCACTTTTCCCCAGCCGGAATGGCCATTCTTAAAAAGTCAAAAAACAATAGATACTGATGTGGTTGTGGTGAAAAAAGAACATATACATACTGCTAATGAAAATGTAAATTAGTATAACCTCTATCCTCTATGGAAAACAGTATGAAGATTTTTCTAAGAGCTAAAAGTAAATCTAGTATTTAATTCAGCAATTCCACTACTCAGTATCTACCCAAAGGAAAATAAGTCTTTATGTCAAAGACTGTTGCCCAGGCTGGAGTGCAGTGGCAAAATCTCAGCCTACTGCAACCTCTGCTTCCTGGGTTCAAGTGATTCTCCTGCCTCAGCCTCCTGAGTAGCTGGGATTACAGGCATGGAGACATCACGCCCAACTAATTTTTATATTTTTAGTAGAGACAGGGTTTTGTTATGTTGGCCAGGCTGGTCTTGAAATCCTGACCTCAGGGGATCTGCCCGTTTCCACCTCCCAAAATGCTAGGATTACAGGTATGAGCCATAGCGCCAAGAGTGTCTTCTAAAGAAATCTATTTCATATGGTATCTTAGAGAACATTTAGATTTTTCTCAGTATTTTCTTTTTTAATCACATCATTGGTTGGGTGTGGTGATTCACACCTGTAATCCCAGCACTTTGGGAAGCTAAGGCAGGTGGATCACCTGAGGTTAGGTGTTCAAGACCAGCCTGGCCAACGTGCCGAAACCCCATCGCTACTAAAAGTACAAAAATTAGCCAGGCATGATGGTGGGTGCCTGTGATCCCAGCTACTCAGGAGGCTGAGGCAGGAGAATAGCTTGAACCCAAGAGGCGGAGGTTGCAGTGAGCTGAGATCGCGCCACTGCACTCCAGCCTGGGCGACAGAGCAAGACTCCATCTCAAAAAAAAAAAAAAAATCACAGCACTGTAGAACTAGAAGGGAATTTAAAGATCATCTCATATCCAACTCTTTCACTTATTAGAGGAAGAAAATTGAGAATTAGAGAGGTACACTTGGTATGTAGAGTACAGTGTTAAGACTCTGGGATCAGACTGCTTAGACCGGAAGTCAGTGCTTGCTAGTCATATAACCTTGAGCAAGTTTAACCTTGCTGAGCTTCCATTTCTGATCTGTAAAACGGGGCAATAATAGTATCTATACTATTAATGTTAGTAAGAGAATTAAACTAATATGTGAAGTGCTTATAAATTTTATATGCTATGTAAATGTTAGCTGGCCTCCATCTAGCAAATAGGCTCCCTAAGGGCAGAGATTTTTGTTTTATTATGAATCCTGGTAAGGTGCTTAGTACAGAGTACATATTCAATGAGTATTTGTTGAATTAATGAATACAATCTTAAATAACATGAGAAAAAATATTAGAACTTCTCAAAATCAACCCTTCTTTATTAAAAATCTGATTGAAGCATAACATCTACATAGGATAACATTTTGACTATAGTTTTTCTGCTTTATAAGAAGCTCAAGGAATTATCACAAACATTAAGACTCATTAAGAAAGGAGTGTGGTGGCTCACACCTGTAATCCTAGCACTTAGGAGGCTGAGGTGGGTGGATCACTTCAGCCCAGGAGTTCAAGACCAACAGGGCAACATGCTAAAACCCTTAAAAAAAATAGAAAAATTAGTTGGGCATGGTGGTTCACAGCTGTAGTTCCAAGTATTTGGGAGGCTAAGGTGGGAGGATCACCTGAACCTAAGGAGGTCGAAGCCTCAGTGGGCCAAGATCTCGCCACTGCACTCCCAGCCTGGGTGACAGTGAGATTCTGTCTCAAAAGAAAAAGAAAACAAACAAACAGAAGTTAAAAAGACTTCCTTCTAGCTGGTTGCAATGGCACATGCCTGCAGTCCCAGCTACATAGGAGGTTGAGGCAGGATAATTGTTTAAGCCCTGGAGTATGAGTCTTCAGTGAGCCACGATTGACTACTTCATTCGAGCCTGGGCAACAAAGCAAAACTGTCTCAAAAAAAGAATATTTATTTCTAAATATGATAGATGAAAAAAGCTCAAAAGTACTTAGGAAATATTATACTATTAAAAGGAATGCATTTGGGTACCTGAATATCAATCATAAGAAATATGCAAAATTAATTAAATTTAATGATACTAAAACTAATAAGATTCCCACATCAGCTTAGAGCACACGCACATTATTAAAATTGAAAGCACAATGAACTATTTTCTCAAAAATGTTTGTTTTAAATTATCAATAAAAATTTAGAAATAAAACAAACTTTAAACTGTTGCTTAACATCAAATGTTATGGAAGACTCAACTTTTTAAGTATGACAACCCTAATAAAGGTCAAATGGTATCATAAATTTCAAGGGTTGTCCCAAAGTACTGTGGTATACTAGAATTTTGATCTATTGGTTATTACTTGAAATAAGTGGAAAATTCTTTCACATATTTTTGTTTTGTTATGCTATCACTTGGCTACCATTTTTGGGGGATATAAAATCAGATAACTATAGCTTAAAATAAAAATAAACCATTTACACTAACGTTTATAAGAGACAAAACATATTGCTTAATTTAAAAAAAATACCTGATAATTTAAGGAGTAAGTAAATATGTTCAGAAAATAAACAAATCAAGTGCTTTAGAACAGCAGCATGATACCTGGCATGGTTTTCCAGGACACGAAGTGGAGAAGAAGCAAATCGAAGATCCCACATCTGGATCACTGGTAACCGGTCATCCTCAGAGGCAAGGACCATCTGAGTAGCAACATCAGGATGCCACGCCAACCCAGAGCAATGCATCTGCAGATAGTTAAGGTCCACATTTTATGAATCAAATTACTTTTCATAAAGTAATCTGATTACTCAAATGAGAAATACGCCTTTATTAAAACAAATAGTAAAAAATATCAGCTTTGGCTTATTTTATTTATGTGTTTATTTACTTTTTTTTTTCTTATTTATTTATTTATATTTGAGACTGTGTCTTGCTCTGACACCAGGATGGAGGACAGTGGGGCAATCTTGGCTCACTGCAACCTCCGCCTCCCGGTTCAAGTGATGCTTCCGCCTCAGCCTCCTGAGTAGCTGGGACTTCAAGCGCGTACCACCAAGCTCGGCTAATTTTTGTATTTTTTAGTAAAGACAGGGTTTCACCATGTTGGTCAGGATGGTCTCAATCTCTTGACCTCGTGATCCGCCCACCTCTGCCTCCCAAAGTGCTGGGATTACAGGCGTGAGCCACCTGGCCTGGCCTATTTATTTGCCTTTTCAAGACAGTCTCACTCTGTTGGCCAAGCTGGAGTGCAATGACACCATCTTAGCTCACTGCAACCTCCACCTCCCCAAGGTTCAAGTGATCCTCCTGCCTCAGCCTCCCAAGTAGGTGGGATTACAGGCGCAAGCCACCATGCTGGCTAATATTTGTATTTTTAGCAGATACGAGGTTTTACCATGTTGGTCAGGCTGGTCTCAAACTCCTGACCTCAAATGATCCACCCACCTTGGCCTCCCCAAAGTGGTGGGATTACAGGCGTGACCCACCGCACCCAGCCTTGGTTTATATGAAAGAACAAAACAAAATAAATGTAAAACTACTAAATTTTATTGAACATCTTAAACAGTAGTCTTAAAAGTAAGATACCTGAATGTTTTCTCAATGAATCCAGCTATTTGATACACACAAAACCATTCTGAGTCAGAATAACTGTACATCAAAAATGAGTTTCACTATCCAAACTATAAGAAACATTTCATTTTATCTGTTTGTTTGTTGAGATGGAGTCTCACTTTGTCACCCAGGCTGTAGTGCAGTGTGGCACAATCTCAGTTCACTGCCACCTCCATCTCCTGGGTTCAAGCGATGCTCCCACCTCAGCTTCCCCAGTAGCTGCATTACAGGCATACACCACCATGTGTGGCTAATTTTTTGTATTTTAGTAGAGAAAGAGTTTCACCTTGTTGCCCAGGCTGGTCTTGAACTCCTAAGCTCAGGCAATTCGCCCACCTCAGCCTCTCAAAGTGCTAGGATTACAGGCATGAGCCACCATGCCCAGCCAGTAGAAAAAATATTTTTTCACATTTAAAATACTTTCAGAGAAATGGGAAAAATAGATAAAAGATTAACACACAGAGGCTGGGCACGGTGGCTCATGCCTGTAATCCCAGCACTTTGGGAGGCCAAAGCAGGCAGATCACGAGATCAGTCTGGTCAATATGGTGAAACCCTGTCTCTACTAAAAATATAAAAATTAGCCGGGTGTGGTAGCAGGTGCCTGTAATCCCAGCTACTCGAGAGGCTGAGGCAGGAGAATCACCTGAACCCGGGACGCGGATGTTACAGTGCCAAGATCGCACCACTGTACTCCAGCCTGGACGACACAGCAACCGAGACTCCATTAAAAAAAAAAAAAAAAAAACAACTAAAAAGCACAAAAAGATTAACACACACACAAGAACAAGAAACCCTCACATTTTTCCTCATTTTATCAAAAAAATCGAGAAAAAATATCTTTTAAAAACTTATTTAAATTTTTATATGGGATAAATTAACATTATTAAGAACTATTTGGAAATTCAGATTCTACTAAATGTTCCAGAAAATGACTCAAATGCTTCTGGTATGGTTTATTCCATTGAAACTTCTGTTTTAAAACTGCTGATTCACTTGAAAACAAAACTCTGAAGAAATGTTCTCCCAAACAGTTTTTTGCTGTTATTGCTGTTTTTAAATTACATATGTATTCTTTGACTTTTGACAAACTTATTTTAGAAAATGTCAAACTATCCAATGTAATTATAAACAAAAACAAGGCTCTTAATTACATCTAAATTATTTTATGGTGCCCAACTACATTTAAAAAATTAAGATACCTATAAGGTTCAGAATTTAATGTGGTCTATGGGCAAGGGCCAGAAAGATATTAGCTCGTTTAGCACTGCCTAATCAGAGGAAGAGATGAGGCCAAGAAGTCGAATACTACAAGTTCACAGTGATGAAGTTCCCAGCAGGAAAAATTTTTATATTCTAAGAAAAGCTAAAGATGAATTAAAAAGTTGCAGCAATGGCCAGGCATGGTGGCTCACACTTGTAATCCCAGAAGTTTGGAAGGTCAAGGCAGGCAGATCACGAGGTCAGGAGTTTGAGACCAGCCTGACCAACACGGTGAACCCCCATCTCTAATAAAAATACAAAAATTAGCTGGGCGTGATGGCTCTTTGCCGGCAATCCCAGCTACTCGGGAGGTTGAGGCAGGAGAATCACTTGCACCCAGGAGGCAGAGGTTGCCGTGAGCTGAGATGGTGCCACTGGCATTCCAGACTGGGCAACAGAGTGAGACTCTGTCTCAAAAAAAAGAAAAAAAGTTGCTGCAATGTTTTAAAACAGTCAGCAAAGCAAAAAACAACCAGTATATCATGGAATAAGTTCCTTGATTAACCAATCTCTCTTCGTCATTAATAATATCCAACATATTTATTGAGAATTTTATGATTTTTCCCTGAGAGGAAAAAAACCAAACATTCATTCTAACAGGATTGATTAATAAAAAAACAGGATTTAACTTCACAGAAATTTGTTGTCAATTCTGACAAAAAATATAGGAATACCTACAGCAGAAATACAACATGTTCATCACAAGTCAATTATATACTTACTCTGTTACTATGGTCACTGACTTTGATGATTGGTTCATTTTTTCTAAGATCCCATACAGTGGCCCGGCCACTGGGACTGGCTGATGCTAAAATATGCTGAACTTGTCTGTTCCATGCAATGCAGCTGATATCTTCTGGAGGCTACAAGGAATAAACTGTTAATAAAAACTGTTTTTCTATTATAATCAAATTTAACTGTAAAACTGGATCGTTCATTTTGAAAAGTGGATTACTTAAAAATTTAATCCATTTATCCCCAAAATTTGCTTTCTATTCCTACATCTCTACACTCTCAGTACATATAATACAGTTTAAAGCGCAGGTACATGCCACTTCAAATGTATTATCTTGTTTAATAATATCTCATTCAACAAGCGTTTGATTGAATTCCTGCTATAAACTGACATATTCCAGGTGGTACTGTTTCTTAACTTTACAACTGCCGCAAGGTAGATCATGGACCACAAACTAGATGTTGGTGACTATGACAGAAAACTAGGCAGGGCAAAAGTTACAGCCTAGACTATTAGCAAAATATCTTTATAAATGGTAGTGCGTGCATATGCTATCATTATGCTACCTCTCAGACTGTCAAAATGTTAGAGCCAGTTGCAATGGCTACTCAAGTTAGAAAGCCTATACAACATAAAGAAACTCAAGGAAGACTAGGGGAAGACTGTTCTTACCAAACTTACCAGAAATACACAAGCAAAGGGCTTGAGGTTATTTATTTTTAAACTTTGCCTTCCATGGTCTTGTCTGAGTGTTTCTGTTTTTTGTTTTTCTTTTTTTTTGAGACGGAGTTTCGCTCTTGTTACCCAGGCTGGAGTGCAATGGCGCGATCTCGGCTCACCGCAACCTCCGCCTCCTGGGTTCAGGCAATTTTCCTGCCTCAGCCTCCTGAGTAGCTGGGATTACAGGCATGCGCCACCATGCCCAGCTAATTTTTGTATTTTTAGTAGAGACAGGGTTTCACCATGTTGACCAAGTGGTCTCGATCTCTTGACCTCGTGATCCACCCGCCCGGCCTCCCAAAGTGCTGGGATTATAGACTTGAGCCACCGCGCCCGACCATTGTTTGTTTGTTTTTTGAGACAGAATTTCGCTCTTGTTACCCAGGCTGGAGTGCAATGGTGCAATCTCGGCTCATCGCAACCTCCGCCTCCTGGGTTCAAGCAATTCTCCTGCCTCAGCCTCCCAAGTAGCTGGGACTACAGACACGCACCACCATGCCCAGCTAATTTTTGTATTTTTAGTAGAGATGGGGTTTCACCATGTTGACCAGGATGGTCTTGATCTCTTGACCTCGTGATCCACCCGCCTTGGCCTCCCAAAGTGCTGGGATTATAGGCGTGAGCCACCGCGCCCGGCCTGTCTGAATGTTTCTAAAGAAGTTTAGTTGTTGCTAAAATACAGAGCAGCTATCACACAAAGAACAAAAATAATTATACTATTAAGGATTTTTGTTCATTTTGCCTAGTACAATGACAAGTGTCTACCAGGTAGTAGGTGCTGAATAAATATTTACTTTTGAAGGACGCACTGATACTATGAAGAAACATATTTACTAATATTTTACTGAAGAAAAATCAGTAACATCTAAACAATGATTTTAAACATTTATGTTTTGTGTGAGAAGCCTTAAAAGTGAATTAAGCCTTAAAAATTAAACCTTAAAAGGTTTAGAAGAACTACTTTTTGCTTTTTTTATTACAATGATCAAAATCAATACAATACCTGTGTTTTGGCCCCTGGTGTCATTGGAGTTGAAAAATTATTTAGATCCCATATGTAGATTTCAGATTCATTAGCACCAGAAGCTACCAGATTAGTCTGCAACAAGAAACCACAACTAAATAGCACTTGTGAATAATTAAGAGAATTCAGAATAACTCAGTTCAGAGCTAGAAAGATAGTAGATGTAGCATATACAATTTTTCTATTTAATTTAAAAAGTAAAAAAAAAAGCATGAATTTCTAAATTAAGCATACTTATTTCAAAATTTAAAGTTTTCTAGAAAAAACAAAATTCTACTTAAAGACAAAAGATGTCTCCTGACAAACTAATTTTAATGCAAGATATTATTTTAAAAATTATATGGCTAAATTCTTAATCAGTCATGCAACCATGTAGGAATTAATGTTTATATCTCTGCATCTCTGGAAAGAGATTTAATTGTAAGATTCAAAAGGTTATCAATTATTGCTTTCAGAAAAAGCTGAATCCTAAAACTCTGGCATCTTTCTCAGGATAACTCAAAGCCAGCTTCCAGAGCTGAATCAATACAGCACTAGTAAAATCACTTGTCATATCTCTTTACATATTTCTAGTCCATTTATACTCAATCTTGTTCCAGGTGGCAATATTTCTAGGTTTTCTCTGTTACATACCTTAAGGGTCAAAAAGAACCTAAAATTGTAACAAAGTACAGGAAGATAATGGACTTCATATACTGACATTCATCCTATTTACTATTTACTCTTACAAATTATTCTCTTATCAACTGGCATATAACTAAAAAAAGAGAAAAATTCTACGGTAGGAGCTACCTATAACACAAAATACTTTATTAAAACTCAGCAGCTATTTAATACAATTAACAAAGGAGTTAACTAAAGAACAGACACCACAAAGTATAGAAATGAAGGCTGGGCACGGTGGCTCATTCCTGTAGTCACAGTACTTTGGGAGGCTGAGGCAGACAGATCACTTGAGCTCAGGCGTTCAGGACCAGCCTGAGCAACAGGGAAAAACCCCGTCTCTACAAAAATTAGCCAAGTGCTGTGGCTCATGCCTGTCATCCCAGCAGGACGACAGGAGATTCGTCTGCTGTCGTCCTGCTGGGTAGTTGAGACAGAAGATCAAGACTACAGTGAGCCATGAGCCACTGCGGTCCAGCCTGGCCAATGGAGCAAGACATTGTTTCAAAAAACAAACAACAACAACAACAAAATAAACAAGTTGGGTTTCTGTATTGCTATATCCTAAGTATCTATTGAAAAGAAACTATTTACAACTTTCTTAATACTTAGTTTTGGTTGTTGTAATCTAGTATCCTATTAATTCAAGGTCTTTTTTTTTTTTTTCCCCCAGACAGGGTCTCTATGTGTCACCCAGGCTGGAGTGCAATGGCGCGATCTTGGCTCACCGCAACCTCTGCTTCCTGGGTTCAGGCAATTCTCCTACCTCAGCCTCCTGAGTAGCTGGGATTACAGGCACGCACCACCATGCCCAGCTAATTTTTTGTATTTTTAGTAGAGACGGGGTTTCACCATGTTGACCAGGATGGTCTCGATCTCTTGACCTCGTGATCCGCCTGCCTCGACCTCCCAAAGTGCTGGGATTACAGGCGTGAGCCACCGCGCCCGGCCTGCTTTTTTTTTTTTTTTTTGAGATAGAGTCTTGCTCTTTTACCAGGCTGGAGTGCAGCGGCGTGATCTCGGCTCACTGCAACCTCCACCTCCTGGGTTCAAGCAATTCTCCTGCCTCAGCCTCCCAAGTAGCTGGGCCTACAGGCATGCGCCAACATGCCCAGCTAATTTTTGTATTTTTGGTAGAGACAGGGTTTCACCATGTTGGCCAGGATGGTCTCAATCTCTTGACCTCGTAATCCACCCACCTTGGCCTCCCAAAATGCTGGGATTATGGGTGTGAGCCACCGCACCCAGCCTGTTTTTTTAATAGCGACAGGGTTTTACCATCTTGTTCAGGCCAAGATCTTTATTAAGCTGTGCAATCATATAACTAACATCCAGTAATGTTTATGAAGGCAACAATACAAAGATCTTAATTGACTATTTGTTAAATCTGCATTACATTTAATTTCTAATTATTTCACAAAGCAGTAATCTCTTTATAACACAAAATTTCTCAATTAATAAAACAGTGAATTAACCTGGACATCATAGCACCAGGCTAACAATGACCTAGCACAAACTTTTAAAAGGCAAGATTTCCAACCTATGGAGTTCTTAATGTTGTAAAATGTCTAATCAAATGGCATGACATCTTCAGACTTCTAGAATTAAATCTAGCAGCCTGATCCTTTTCATTGAGTTAGTATTTTTAACGCTGATCTCAACTCTGAACCCACCATTCTCTAAAAAACACTTGTTCGGATCAGAGTCACGGCACCAAAAATAAATAAAATAAAACAACAACAACAACAACAAAAACACTCATCAACCTATATAGCCACACATTGTTTTAAGCTTTCAGTTCCAAAACTGAGGCATAGTAGATTCATATACTGATTTCAAATGAGCAGCACATAGTCTAAGAATTATGAATAAATGTCAAAGTCTAACCTGAAAAATGTTCACATCCAAGGCTCTCACTGGGCCAGTATGCTTGTCATTCTGGGCAATCACAACATCCTTGTCTCCAGCTATAATTTTAGAAGGATCATAGAGAATAATATTTCCATTTTCACCACCTGCAATCAGAACTCCAGAGACATCTCCTTTGGAATCCATTTTATAGGGTCCCCAAATCAACTTGTGGTACCTATAGAAGAAAATGAAGAACTCATTCTTAAAGTCAAATAAATGTAGACAAAAATTTGAAATTATACATTTAACTTTTTAGGTTTTTATAAATAGTCCAAATACATTACTTCTCCTCCACTCCTGGTAACTATGAATGACTTTGGTGTAATAGTATTTCATTTTTTATTTATACTCATATTTGCATATTTGATTTTATAATCCTTAAGGAGCAAAAACTCTTGTAAGGTAGTGTAACAAAGTATACTTGAGTTGTATGTCACAAGCTATGAGCTTAAGAATGATTTTACCATTTAGAAACTGTGAGACCCTAAGTTACTTAACCTTCTTAAATTGCCTCTGGTTCACTGCAAAATAGAGCTAAATGATCACTTTCCTTGAAAAATAAAAACATTCTTTATTTGACTATAGAAGGGTCTCATGCTTTGACCTTTGTCAAAAAAATAATAAAAATAAAAATAAAAGAAGGGTCACTAACAAGCAGTCTTTTAAATAGTAAAAGTGCTGGCCGGGCGCGGTGGCTCAAGCCTGTAATCCCAGCACTTTGGGAGGCCGAGGCGGGTGGATCACGAGGTCAAGAGATCAAGACCATCCCGGTCAACATGGTGAAACCCCGTCTCTACTAAAAATACAAAAAAAATTAGCTGGGCATGGTGGCGCGTGCCTATAATCCCAGCTACTCAGGAGGCTGAGGCAGGAGAATTGCCTGAACCCAGGAGGCGGAGGTTGCGGTGAGCCGAGATCGCGCCGTTGCACTCCAGCCTGGGTAACAAGAGCGAAACTCCGTCTCAAAAAAAAAAAAAAAAAAAAAAATAGTAAAAGTGTTAAAGGAGTCACCTGAAATTTACTAAGAAAAAGAATGTATTCTTTTTTTTTTTTTTTTTTGAGACAGAGTTTCGCTCTTGTTACCCAGGCTGGAGTGCAACGGCGCGATCTCGGCTCACCGCAACCTCCGCCTCCTGGGTTCAGGCAATTCTCCTGCCTCAGCCTCCTGAGTAGCTGGGATTATAGGCACGCGCCACCATGCCCAGCTAATTTTTTTTGTATTTTTAGTAGAGACGGGGTTTCACCATGTTGACCGGGATGGTCTTGATCTCTTGACCTCGTGATCCACCCGCCTCGGCCTCCCAAAGTGCTGGGATTACAGGCTTGAGCCACCGCGCCCGGCCCAAAAGAATGTATTCTAACAGGAGAAAAGTGACATCAAAATTATATTATAACAAGTACTCCCACTGTTGGAGAATAAAATATACAGTCTAGAATGGCGATAAAATATGAAGGCAAAAATGTATACAATGATACAGATGGTAGTAAGTAGAAAAACTACCAGACAAGGGGCCAGGTGTAGTGGCTCCCAGCACTTTGGGAGGCTGAGGCAGGTGGATCACCTGAGGTTGGGAGTTTCTCTACTAAAAATACAAAATTAGCCGGGCATGGTGGCGCACGCCTATAATTGCAGCTACTTGAGAGGCTGAGGAAGGAGAATCACTTGAACCTGGGAAGTGAGCTGAGATCGCGCCATTACACTCCAGCAGCCTGGGCAACAAGAGTGAAACTCTGTTTCAAAAAAAAAAAAAAAATTACTAGACAAAAGGTATCTGGGGTTCCCATCCTACTGTGACAGCTCTGAAGAAGATGAGAGGTCCCATGAAACTGCATGATTTGAGCTGTTTTCTATCAGCTAAAGAACAATCTCTTTAAACCCTGCAAAGATATTAAGGCAATAAAGCTTACTTTATTACTCAAATGAAAGTATTCTTGGGCTGGGCGCTGTGGCTCACGCCTATAATCCCAGCACTTTGGGAGGCCGAGGCGGGTGGATCACGAGGCGGGTGGATCAAGACCATCCTGGTCAACATAATGAAACCCCGTCTCTACTAAAAAGTACAAAAAAAAATTAGCTGGGCATGGTGGCGCGTGCCTGTAATCCCAGCTACTCAGGAGGCTGAGGCAGGAGAATTGCCTGAAACCAGGAGGTGGAGGTTGCGGTGAGCCGAGATTGTGCCATTGCACTCCAGCCCGGGTAACAAGAGTGAAACTCCATCTCCAAAAAAAAAAAAAAAAAAGAAAGTATTCTTTCTCTACATTAAAATAGGGTATAAGTACTTGAAAGTATGATCCAAATACCTAGTTACCTAGTGAATTAGAAATCATGTCAACAAAACTGTCTGTGAAATTTATTTCTAAATATAGTAACATAAGAAAATAAAAATAAGCTACCATTCAGAGGTAATCACTATTAATATCTTAATATGACTACTCCTTTTTCTAGTCACATCTACCATGTTTGCAAACAGATGCAATAAAAGAGATAGAAAAAAAAAACTCTACCACATAATGAGAAAAAAAAAATGCTAGAAACTATAGCCTCTCCTTCCCACCTTACATTTAAAAGCAATAAAAAAGTCAACAGAACATAATGGCTGGGCACCAGCACTCTGGGAGACGGAGGTGGATGGATCACTTGAGGTCGGGACTTCAAGACCAATCTGGCCAAAATGGCAAAACCTTGTTGCTACTAAAGATAGAAAATTAGCTGGGTAGGGTGGCACACACCCGTAATCCCAGCTACAAGGATTGCTAGAACGCAGAAGATGGAGGTTGTAGTGAGCCGAGATTGTGCCACTGCACTCCAGCCTGGGCTACAAAGTGAGATTCTGTCTCAAAAAAAGAAAAAGAAAAAGAAAAAAAGTCAATAGAACTTATAAACACTACTTTTACTTCCATAAAAATTCACTCACATGCTTTTTGTCGACAAAATATTTCATGTCCTTGCTGGTATTCCTTGTAGTTTCTAATAATGGCATACTGATGGATAAATCAGAAATCAACAACAATATATAATTAATCACATTAATTGAAAGCTGAACCTCATACCTGTGAGAAGAGGAGAATGTGGCACAGGATTTCATATCCAAGGATGAATCAGAAAGATCTAATTCAAATATCTCAAGGGAAGCACTGGTACTAAATGTTGCATCCAATTGCTGAGCAGATGTTCCTAGAGAAAATACATTTATGGTAACTATGCATACAAAAATAAAAGACTCAAACCACACAACAGAAATTAAATGCATGTTTTTCAATTCTCTTGCTCGTGAACACTGCATTAGTGGCTGAATCTCAGCACATATGCCATTGAGCAGATGCTTAAATTACTATAGGAATGAGATTCTGGCACAGGGCTAGGAAACAATGTTTCTAAGAGTGGGTAGTATAAATAATTTTTTAAGGTTGTAAATATTTTTTAAATCTCTGTAAAAATGATTAGCTGGGCATGGTGGTGCGTGCTTGTAATCCCAGCTACTCAGGAGGCTGAGGCAGGAGAATTGCCTGAACCCGGGAGGCGGAGGTTGCGGTGAGCCGAGATCGCGCCATTGCACTCCAGCCTGGGTAGCAAGAGTGAAACTCCGTCTCAAAAAATAAATAAATAAATAAATAAATAAATAAATAAATAAATAAAATTTAAAAAAAAAAACTCTGTAAAAATGGTCTAGTGATTTACTGTATCTGCTTATAGACATACATGATATAACTTTTTTTTTTTTTTTTTGAGACGGAGTCTCGCTCTGTCACCCAGGCTGGAGTGCAGTGGTTCAATCTTGGCTCACTGCAACCTCTGCCTCCCAGGTTCAAGTGATTCTCCTGCCTCAGCCTCCCGAGTAGCTGGGATTACAGGCCCCCACCACCAAGCCCAGTTAATTTTTGTAGTTTTAGTAGAGATGGGGTTTCATCATTTTGACCAGGCTGGTTTTGAACTCCTTACCTCAGATAATCAATCCACCTCGGTCTCCCAAATTGCTGGGATTACAAGCGTCAGCCACCATGCCAGGCCAACTTTTTTTTTTTTTTTTTTTTGAGACAGAGCTTTGCTCTGTTGCCCAGGCTGGAGTGCAGTGGTGCAATCTCAGCTCACTGCAACCTCTGCCTCCCAGGTTCAAGCTATTCTCCTGCCTCAGCCTCCCGAGCAGTTGGGACAACAGGCTTGCACCACCATGCCCAGCTAATTTCTATATTCTTAGTAGAGATGGGGTTTCACCAAGCTGGCCAGGATGGTCTCGATCTCTTGACATTGTGATCCACTTGCCTTGGCCTCCCAAAGTGCTGGGATTAGAGGCATAAGCCACTGAGCCCAGCCAACTAATTCTTTTTATATAAAAATGCTAACATTGGCCAGGCATGGTGGCTCACGTCTGTAATCCCAGAACTTTGGGAGGCTGAGGAGGGTGGACCACGAGGTTGAGATCCAGACCATCCTGGCCAACACGGTGAAACCCGGTCTCTACTAAAAATCCAAAAATAAGCTGGGTGTGGTGGCTTATGCCTATAGTACCAGCTACTCAGGTGACTGAGGCAGGAGAATCACTTGAAACCAGGAGGCCGAGGTTGCAGTGAACCAAGATGACGCCACTGCACTCTAGCCTGGACGACCAAGCAAGACTCCGTCTCAAAAAAAAAATTAAAATGCTAACAACAAAATTGTTCTTCATTCATTGAAACTGATATTCACTGTTTTTTACATGCCATCTAGGGAAATAAAGATAAAATACAATTCCTGTAAAGTAAGGAAAATACTTTAGATGTAACACATCATGATCAAAACACTATGGGAACACAGAAGAACACTGAACTCAGCTGATAGAATGTCGGTAACTTGTCAGGGAGAGCTAGGCTTTCCAGAGAAGATAAAGCTTAAACTGAATAAGCCAGATGCACAGGAGAAGAAATTAGGTTACTCATAATATGTTCTCTCCTTTGAACTTACCTGTTGCTAGGTAAATGGGGTGATTCTGGGCAGGGCTCCATGCCTGCATGGCTGTACGATCTACTTCCTTTAACTTCATCCTGCTAAAGATAGTATTTTACAAAGAAATAAATTTGAATGATTTGAATGTCTAACACAAAACACAGATATTTTACATAGAAACACACTGAACAAACCACTACAACATTATTAATGCCCAACTACAAATAAATCAAATTGGTTTAGGTGTCATTTGTTGGAAATGTTCAATATTATAAAGTAGACGAACTTGATAAACTATTTTGAGACAAATACTGGACTATTCTGTTTACAGATTATAGTTTTTCAGTTAAATCAGTCTAGAAAAATAGCCCACAAAAACAATAAGGTAGTATCTGAAGAATTAACTTTGCTACACATGTTTATCAAAAAAGAATGGGTAACAAAATATTATGGGTAAGAGAAGGCAAAAAATAAATAAGGTACAACTTCTTGGAGCAGGATTACTCAATGATAAGAGCAGTTTAAAAAATTAATCCTAAATTAAAACATATTAGAGAGAATATAGTAAGCTCCCGGAATTTAAAGATAAAGTAGGAATTATCAGAAAACTGGTCACTTCAAGGTATAATACCATATACCACTTATTTACATATTTTCTGTCATTAAAGTTACAATTGATGGGCCGGGCGTGGTGGCTCATGCTTGTAATCCCAGCACTTTGGGAGGCCGAGGTAGGTAGATGACTTGAGGCCAGGAGTTCAAGACCAGCCTGGCCAACATAGCAAAACCCCGTCTCTACTAAAAATACAAGAAAATTAGCCAGCGTGGTGGTGCACCCATGTAATCCCAGCTATTCAGGAGGCTGAGGCAGGAGAATCACCTGAACCCAGGAGGCAGAGGTTGCAGTGAGCTGAGATCCCACCACTATACTCCAGCCTGGGTGACAGAGACTCGGTCTCAAAAAAAAAAAGTTACTTTGATGGAAAAATTAGAAAGGTGTAGTATTTTTTTTTTTTTTTGACACGGAGTTTCGCTCTTGTTACCCAGGCTGGAGTGCAATGGCACGATCTCGGCTCACCGCAACCTCCCGCCTCCTGGGTTCAGGCAATTCTCCTGCCTCAGCCTCCTGAGTAGCTGGGATTACAGGCACGCGCCACCATGCCCAGCTAATTTTTTGTATTTTTAGTAGAGACGGGGTTTTACCATGTTGACCAGGATGGTCTCGATCTCTTGACCTCATGATCCACCCGCCTCGGCCTCCCAAAGTGCTGGGATTACAGTCTTGAGCCACTGCGCCCGGCGAAAGGTGTAGTATTAAGTACTAAAGATCTTTGTTATTTTTACGTAAAAATATTGAAATGACATATTACTCTACTGTAAGATGTACCATAATTACCTAGTCCAATACCAATGAACACCTAAGCTGTTTTTAGCTATTTTTACAAAAAAATGCTGAAATAAATGGTCATCTGCACATGCTATTTCATTAAAGAGCACAGACAGCTATAAATTCCCAGAAGTAAAACTGTTAAGTTAAAGGATTAATGCAATTTTAATTTTGATGATTACCAAGTTGTCCTCTATGGTAACTGTATCTTTTCATACCACTAACAGTAATATATGATTACTTGTTGCCCTACAACCACTTGTTGCCCAGAGTATACTGCCACACTTTAAGATTTTTACCAACATTAACAATGAAAGGCCAGGCGCAGTGGCTCAGGCCTGTAATCCCAGCACTTTGGGAGGCTGTGGCAGACGGATTGCTTGAGCCTGGGAGCTCAAAGACCAGCTTGACAATGCGGTGAAATTCCATCTCTACAAAAAATACAAAAATTAGCTGGGCATGGTGATGCATGCCTATAGTCCCAGCTACTTGGGAGGTTGAGATGGAAGGATCGTTTGAGCCTGGGAAGTTGAGGCTGCAGTGAGCCCTGATAGCACCACTTCAATCCAGCCTGGGTGACTGAGTGAGACCATGTCTCAAAAAAAAGAAAGAAAGAAAGAAAAATATTAACTTGGTATAGTTATACTATAAATGATACATAACATCCTTTTTTAAATATGATTATGGGTCAACCATATTTCCTTTTCTTTCTTTTTTTTTTTTTTTTAAAGAGGGGGTTTCACCATGTTGGCCAGGATGGTCTCAATCTCTTCACCTTGTGATTCTCCTGCCTCAGCCTCCCAAAGTGCTGGGATTACAGGCGTGAGCCACCGTGCCTGGCCCATATTTCCTTTTCTGTCATCTCTTCTGCCTAGTCATATATCATTTGACTATATTTCTTTTTTTTTTTTTTTTCTGAGATGGAGTTTTGTTCTGTCACCTAGGCTGAAGCACAATGGCACAATCTCGGCTTGCTGCAACCTCCGCCTCCCGGTTTTAAGAGATTCTTGTGTCTCAGCCTTCCAAGTAGCTGGGATTACAGGTACACACCACCACACTCAGATAATTTTTTTGTATTTTTAGTAGAGACTGGGTTTCACCATGTTGTTCAGGCTGGTCTCAAACTCTTGACCTTAGGTGATCCACCCACCTTGGCTTCCCAAAGTTCTGGGATTACAGGCGTGAGCCACTGCGCCCAGGCATCATTTGACCAATTTTCTATTAAGTTGACAGGCTATCTTTTGACTTTGCTTTAAAAAAAATTTTTTTTTTACCTGTCATAGGATTTTGATTTAAATTTAAAAAAAAAAAGGCTTTACCTTTTAGAACAGTTTTACATTCATAGAAAAGTTGAACACAAGTACAAAGAATTGCTACACAGTTCTCCAACCACATAACCTCTCTCACCACCAACATTGTATATCCATGTTAAAATTCACTGCCAAATATACACTTTATATTTGGCATATATTTACATACACACACACACACACACACACACACACACACACACATATTTTTTGAATATCCTTCTTTGTCTGAAATAATGACTTTTGGTCTGAATTCCATCTTTTATTTGCCTTTACATGCATACTTTTGCCCTTCAAAACTACTTTGTTGTCATTAGCTATCCAAAGAAACACGCAAAAAACTAACAGATTTTGTTGGTGATCCAAACAAATAAAAAGTCAACATTTTGTTGGTGATCCAATTTAGCTAAGGCTAAATTAGCTAAGGCCATTTAAAATGACAGACATGGTTAGTCTTAGTTTTACCATATTTTACTTTGGTTTAATATCTTTGGGTAATAAATTTCTTTAAAAGTCTTTCATGTTGTCTATTTTCTTTTTTGTGCAATTACCATTTTTCTGATAATTAGGATAATGTATATTTTTATTCTAATATGTTTCTGATTCTTTTTCTCTTTTCTTTTTTTAAATAAGTCCCGCAAAAGTAGGGCCTCAAAAAATTGGATTAAGACTCAGAATTGCCGGGCGCGGTGGCTCAAGCCTGTAATCCCAGCACTTTGGGAGGCCGAGGCGGGTGGATCACGAGGTCAAGAGATCGAGACCATCCTGGTCAACATGGTGAAACCCCGTCTCTACTAAAAATACAAAAAATTAGCTGGGCATGGTGGTGTGTGCCTGTAATCCCAGCTACTCAGGAGGCTGAGGCAGGAGAATTGCTTGAACCCAGGAGGCGGGGGTTGCGGTGAGCCGAGATCGCGCCATTGCACTCCAGCCTGGGTAACAAGAGCGAAACTCCGTCTCAAAAAAAAAAAAAAAAAAGACTCAGAATTGTTCCTCTCCATGGAAATCTTTAGTAAAAGTAGAAGCATTTATGCAATTTGAAAAGAAACTAGAGTTCTGATTCTATCTTTATCATTGTAATTTTAAATATTTTACTTAATATCATCAATCCTCTATTTTTTTATACAGTAACTACTAACTCCCTACTATTTACATTTATGAAATTAGCTTGTATAATTTTACTGCCCCCTCACACAACACAGTTACAGTCAATAGTATTATCTTTCTCAGTGTTTACCTTTGAACTGCTAAATATGCTTACAGTTCTACTAACCGATTTGTCAGCTTTAAATGATGTCCTTTGACTCATAGCCACTACAGATATGGCAATTCACAAACTTATTCTACCTTCAATTTCTTTCTTCTCTTTTTATTAGTTGTATAACCAACCCCTACATTACTGGACATTTAACATTTACATTTTATTCTTTCTTCCTCATTTTCCCTTTTGTTCTAGTCTCAGCACTGCAGTTAAACACACACTCGATGCTCTCCAAGAGTACTTTTGCCAGTTCCCTTACTCAGCTCCAGGGCCTATCCTCTAACATTTTCCTTAAGATTCCCTTAAACATATACCCCAAGTCCTCTACTTGCAAATTGTTCATATTTGAAGGAGATTTTACATAGGAAAAAATTAAGACACAGAAAGACAATTTGTGTATGTTAGCAAGGAGCAAGGGACAGAGCCAAGATCGGAACTCAGAAGATTAGCTCCAAAGTCCAAGTTCTCATTACTTCCAATGAGTTCAGGTATTCAATTTTTATAACATAGAGGAAAATTAACATTTAGCAGAAACAATTAATAACAAAGCAATCACCATGCATGATGAAACTGAAGAAATGCATTTTAGAAATTGTGTTAGGTAGCCGGGCGCGGTGGCTCAAGCCTGTAATCCCAGCACTTTGGGAGGCCGATGCGGGTGGATCACGAGGTCAAGAGATCGAGACCATCCTGGTCAACATGGTGAAACCCCGTCTCTACTAAAAGTACAAAAAATTAGCTGGGCGTGGTGGCTCATGCCTGTAATCCCAGCTACTCAGGAGGCTGAGGCAGGAGAATTGCCTGAACCCAGGAGGCGGAGGTTGCGGTGAGCCGAGATCGCGCCATTGCACTCCAGCCTGGGTAACAAGAGTGAAACTCCGTCTCAAAAAAAAAAAAAAAAAAAAGAAATTGTGTTAGGTAGAGCAAAGTGAGATTAGGAGGCAGATGTATCACATGGTTAAAAGCATGGTCTCTGGAGTTAATCCTCAATTTGACTACTGGCTCTGCTACTTATTAGCTATGATACTTTGGACACGTTATTTAACCTCCCTGGGCACCAGTTTCTATATTCATAAAATAGGGAAAAGAATGACCACGTAATGGGATGAAGTGAGGTTTCAATGAGATCATATGTTTTATAATAGGGAGCCAAACAAAGTGCCGAGCACATGGGTTAGTGTTTTTGATAGGTTTTCTATTTTTAAAGCTTACTGATATAATGAGATTAAATAAGAAAACTTTGAGATTATCTGGGGGAAAAAATTCCAACTTTCTAAGTGTAAAAAAGTCTTATATGAATTCCCTCTTCTTCCTCTCTGCCAACTGACCAAATCTTTAATAATAAATTCATATTCTAGCTCCTCCATGAAAACTGCCCTAATGATCCAAACCACACTGATCTAAATACTCCCCTACAAGTTTACATTTGTCAGTACTAGGATTTAAGCATTTTACATAAATATGCCATTCTATTTTAACTCAACACTTTGTAGTAACATTCTATTAGCACATATTGTCTACATATTTTCCAGTTACCCTTTTTTAAACCAGCAGCCTTATGTGCTATCGTATCTGATCAACTAGACAAATAATGTCTTTTCTCAAAACTTTTACCCCTTTTGGACTCAAATTGCTAATAAGCACGGTAGGAGATATCCAGAAAGTTTTGTTTGATTTATTTTAAATGTTTATATTTAGGGGAAAACAAGCAGACAAATGAGCTAGAATGACCAGTTTCAGATAAAACATTTACTTTTAAATTCTTATCTCTTTAAAGGATTATTTACTATTTAAAAAAGGAGAAAGTATTGTTAAGGGGGGAAAAGGTTGTAAGATGCCTTCAAAATAATTTCTACAAGTGAAAAACAAAATAGCTGCATTATAAAAATAGAATACAATTCTAATATTTCTAAGAGCAAAAGTACAAGGACTACCTAATCCATTAATGTTTGGTTAATGTGTAACATTGACTGAAAGAGAAAGAGACACATTTATAAGAACACAGTAAATGGGAATTCAAAACATTCACAAGAATTTCTTAGCCTTAGTACTCAATGTTCCACTAAAAGCAATTCTCCTTATTAACCTGTCCTGAATATAAGGCTTCACTACCATGTTTAAAAAAAAAAATCACTATACTACATAATGGCCTAGAACTATATTATATGCCCTGAATCTTATTAAATAATATACCTATTGTAATCATTCTCAAAATTACTAAGAATGCCATCAAAATACAGTTTTATCTGTATATACGTGTATTTCCTTCTCGTAGAAATAATCATTCATTTAGGTGTAAATGATTTTCTTAAAAATATTAAAAGGTTTTTTCTTTATAATTTGTTGTTGTTGTTGTTTTTAATAAAAATAAGTTCTCCCTATGCTGGCCAGGTTGGTCTTGAACTCTTGGCATCAAGCAATCATCATGCCTTGGTCTCCCAAAGTGCTAGGATTACAGGCCTGAGCCATTGCACCCAAAAATAGGAATAAGTTTTAGATTAAACCATACATACTTCCCAAGCAAGACTTGCTTTAAAAACTTTGTGTAATGTTTTTTCAATATTAAACATGATCAGAATTTAAACTATGCATACTTGTTTCACTCAATACTGTTTTCTACAGAACATAATCACTATGAAAATATAAAAAGGCCAGGCACACGGCTCACACCTGTAATCCCAGCATTTTGGGAGGCCGAGGCGGGCAGATCACCTGAGGTCAGGAGTTTGAGACCAGCCTACCCAACACAGCAAAACCCTGGCTCTTCCAAAAAAACAAAAAAAATAGCAGTGTGTGGTGGCCGATGCCTGTAATCCCAGCTACTTGGGAGGCTGAGGCAGGAGAATGGCTTGAACCCAGGAGGTGGAGGTTGCAGTGAGCCAAGATTGTGCCACTGCACTTTAGCCTGGGCGACAAGAGCAAAACTCCGTACCAAAAAAAATAAAATAGTGTGGACAATGGCTTCTTCATATATGCCATCTAGAAGACAGTATTTATTGCACAGCAATTAAGAGCATGGAGTCTAGAGTAGACACCCTCAGTTTAAATTCCAGCTTCACCATGTCCACCTCTGATGTTAGTCATGTAGCTTTATCCATGTGTATCTTGCCTCCGCTCTCGGTAAAATAAAGGTAACAGTACCTACCCCACAGGGTTGCTGTAAGAAATAAGTGGTACTACTCGGAGTGGTTTGAACAGTGCCTAGCATATATAAATAAATGCTCATAAGTGACAGTTATTACAAACACCACAATTTAAAACGTCTACCACAACGAACCTTCTTCAAAATACATGCATTGGCCGAGCACAGTGACTCAGGCCTGTAATCTCAGCACTTTGGGAGGCCGAGGTAGGCGGATCACTTCAGGCCGGAAGTTCGGGAGCAACCTGGCCAACATGGCGAAACCCTGTCTCTACTAAAAAATACAAAAATTAGCCGGACATGGTAGTGCACGCTCGTAATCCCAGCTATTCAGGAGGCCAAAGCAGGAGAATCACTTGAACTCAAAAGGCAGAGGTTGCCGTTAGCCGAGATAGCGTCACTGCACTACAGACTGGACAACAGAGCAAGATTCCATCTCGGGGGAAAAACAAAAAAATAACAAAAAAGAAAACCTTTATTGAAGAAAATTTATACTCCAGACTAGAACTCTTATTTTTCATGCAACTTTCTCTCAATAATTGCATTCAATTAGGTGGAAACTTTTTCTTTCTGCTCATTTTCAAAATGTAAATTTTGTGAAACAATAGTAAAACCTAACAGCACTATTCTTTGAAAAATACCAACCTTATAATGCTATATACAGAGCTGACTCATACCTCAGAAAGCAAGTAAAAAGTTTAAAGAGGTAACAGAATCGGAACTTTGACTCCCAAACTGGGTATACAATCCCTAGTTGGCACTGCTTTTAGTAAAAATCCATTTTCTATGGGCAAAACATCTCAATAGGGATAGACACAATTGTTCTAGAGGATTTATTTAGTATCATGAATGTTCTAGGCTCATTTCCCTCAACCCAAACCAAATCAAAGGAGAAAGTAACTGCATACTGGTTACTGAACTAATTGGTGTCATACTAATCTTCAGTATAAAACTTTGTGAGCTGAAATTAACCTAATGACATTTTTAAAACAATGTAATCAATGCAAATCAATCTAGTAACATCCCCTTACAGGAGTTTTTAAATTGTAAACTTCATGATAGTATGTACGTAGAAAATCCTACATGTCTCTTGAGAGCAGGAGCTTGAGACCAGCCTGGGGAACATAGTGAGACCCCATGTCTATAAAAAATGAGAGATTAATTAGCTGGGCGTGCGCCACGTGCATATTCCTAGCTAATTCTGAGGCTGAGGCGGGAGGATCTCTTGAGCCCAAGAGTTCAAGGTTATAGTGAGCTATGATTGCACCACTTCACTCCCATCTGGGCAACAGAGTGAGCCTGTCTCAAAAACAAAACAAAACAAAAACCCTAAGGGTGTGTATGCGCATTCTTACAATGATTTCATTAGATTCCTATAAGACTGTGAAATCCCTCAAACTATTCCTATGTTATTAGTTTCAGTAAATAATTTGCTTATATAAAATTAAGCAGTGTAATTCTAAATCCACCTCAAATTTCAAATTTCACAAATAATTGTGTACATATGTAAAATAAAATCGCTACAAAACTACAAAATACTACGAGTTATCCAAAAGTTCTTATGAGCCTACAAAGCTTTCTCTGAAGTATAAGTATAATTAAGGGATAATGAGAAACAAGGAGCACAGAAGAACTACTAAAAAAGAAGAGTGGCTGGGAACAGTGGCTCACGCCTGCAATTTCTACACTCTGGGAAGCCAAGGCGCGTGGATCACTTGAGGTCAGGAGTTCGAGACCAGCCTTGCCAACATAGTGAAACCCCGTTTCTACTAAAAATACACGAATTAGCTGGGCTTGGTGGCAGGCGCCTGTAATCCTAGCTACTCAGGAGGCTGAGGCAGGAGAAATCACCGGGTGGTGGAGGTTGCAGTGAGCTGAGATCGCGCCACTGCACTTCAGCCTGGGTGACAGAGCGAGACTCTGTCCAAAAAAAAAAAAAAAAAATGGCCGGGCGTGGTGGCTCAAGCCTGTAATCCCAGCACTTTGGGAGGCCGAGGCGGGTGGATCACGAGGTCGAGAGATCGAGACCATCCTGGTCAACATGGTGAAACCCCGTATCTACTAAAAACACAAAAAAGTAGCTGGGCATGGTGGCGCTTGCCTGTAATCCCAGCTACTCAGGAGGCTGAGGCAGGAGAATTGCTTGAACCCACGAGGCGGAGGTTGCGGTGAGCCGAGATCGCGCCATTGCACTCCAGCCTGGGTAACAAGAGCGAAACTCCGTCTCAAAAAAAAAAAAAAAAAAAAAAAAAAAGGGGAGAATAAGCTTTTGCCAACCCTTGAATAATCGGAAGTACAGAAAACACAGGACGCTATAATAAGAACAAACCTTTATCGACTTTTTAAATACAGTTATAACTGCCCATAAAGGACAATCAAATTTCAGTTTTCTATAGTTCGAAAAGATAATTTAGAAGAAATGATTTGGCACAGACTATCAGATCATTGCAACTTCAAAAAGCCCTACGTAAAATTAGTTCCTTAAGCACAAGGAAAAATGTATAACGCCCACAAGTCCAGGCAATATTTTGGTTTATTTTACAACCGCCCCGAAATTTAACAACTTATTAGCAAAAACATATAACACTTAATGAGACTGTCCTCAAAGTACAGGCTGTGCCTGGCGACCACTGTCCTTAAAATAATCCAATCCTAGCTACATGACAGTATACGTCAATTCAAACCTATGAACCTTGAAATCTGGCAACAGTTCAAGTACAATAAAAAATCCTAACCAAACTAAAGTCAACCGAAGTAATCCTGAGATTTGTTTCCTTTCCTCACCCTCGGGGACCGCACCTCTTTGTGCACAAGGGTCTGAAAGTCTCCTAACCTCAAACTCCAGTTACCCGCCCGGCTACGACTCCCCGGCAAGTCAGTGTCGCCAGCCTCGGGTGGCTCTTGCTAGGCAATGGAGACGTCGGCGGATGCGGACGGGCGCGATCACTGAAGGAGTCCAGACGCCAGGCGTTGTTCCGCCGGGCCCGAAACTAAGACCAGGGGCGCGCCGTCACCAAAGACCGGGCCTCGGGCTGGCGCGGAGCAGCGGAGACCCAGGCTGGGGTCCTAGTTTTGGCCTGGGCTCAACCTCAAGGCTTAAGGACCGGCGAAGAGGACAAAAAGCAACGGGCGGACGTACCTGGCGAAGACCTTCGGAAGCCAGGTCCTGCCTTAGTGCAGCGTCGGTCGGATTCTCCCAGCATTCGCCGCCGCCCCTCCTCCCCAGCCAGGGCCACCTCCACGTTCCGCTCCAACGTGGCAGCCGCAGCCACGCCCTGCCGCCCGACACTTCCGGGAGCGACGTCTCTCCCCGCCCACCCGACGCACGGCCCGCCGCGGCATTTCCGGGATTGGCGGTAGGCTAGGGCGCGGGCTACGGTTCTGCGCCTTTGGGCGTTCTGTGGTCATCGCGCCCGCGCGAATGGAGGAACTCTCTTCTGAGGGGCGGTGCATAGAATGTGGATGCCGTAGCCAGGACTAATGGGTAAAGGAAAAGTCCTGCACGGTGACTCCGTCCGGCCGAATGACCGCCGTGGCCCGCAGGAACGCCACGTAGCACTAGTCCTGTGAGGTCTAGTCTTATGAGTGTCGCCCCTGGCGACACTGCCCGCGCCAAACCGCGTGAAAAATCGGGATGCAAGGGCTTTATTGCAGTTGTCACTGAGTTCTTAAAATTACCCACTTGATTCCACATTCTGGCGTTTTGAGACCTTCGACAGAGCGAACTGGGCATACCCAAAGGCTACTGTGGACAGAGGCATAGATGGGGTGTTATATTAATTCCAATTAGTATCCTTTCATACTTGTCACTATCTCATGGTACTATTTGAGACCCGTTAGCACTCGCCTTCCGCCACGGTTAACCTTACTAGTTTCCCCAGAGCCTCAAATCTAATTAGATGCGTTGCCTGGGTGTACTTTTAGTATAGGGCGGAATTATTTTACAGCGAAGTAAAGCCAAAGGAAAATCACTTGCTAAATTACCAGAATCTGGATTCAACCCAGGTCTCCTAACTTTTCGACAAGTTGTTTTCCCATTACACCTAGCATTCAAAGCCAACTCCTACCGCCTTTTTTCCTAGATGTCTGGAAATAATGTTTGTCTTTTGTAAACAAAAAGACAATATGGCAAACACTCCTTAAGGACTAGGGAGTAGAAACATTTTTGTACTCACTGCAGCCTTCCCAGTGTCTTTTCAGTCTTTTTCTTTTTTTTTTCTTTTTTTTTTTTTTATAAAGACAGGGGTTTCACCATGTTGGTCAGGCTGGTCTTGAACTCCCGACCTCAGGTGATCCACCCACCTTGCCCTCCAAAGTGTGGTTTGACTATAAAATCAAAAGTGTATTTCTGTAGGACTGAAATCAGCTCTAACAGATTACAGTTGACCTTCGAACAACACGGTTAAGCGTTAACTCCAGTCAAAAATCAGGAAACGAGCTTTGCACGGTGGCCGACACCTGTAATCCCAGCATTTTGGGAGGCTGAGGCGGGTGGATCACTTGAGGTCAGGAGTTCCAGACCAGCCTGACCAACATGGTGAAACCCCATCTCTACTGAAAATACAAAAATTAGCCGGGTCTGGTGGCACAAGCCTCTAGTCCCAACTACTCAGGAGACTGAAGCAAAAGAATCACTTGAACCCGGGAGGTGGAGGTTGCAGCAAGCCGAGATCCGGGCACTGCACTCTATCCGGAGCGAAAAAATGAGACCCCATGTCAAAAAAAAAAAAGTTTGGCTCTTTGGGAGATCGAGGTGGGTGGATCACCCGAGGCCAGGAGTTCAGACTAGCTTGGCCAACATGGTGAAACCCCATCTCTACAAAAAATACAAAAATTAGCCAGGTGTGGTTGTGTGTGCCTGTTGTCCCAGCTACTAGGGAAGCTGAGGTGGGAGGATCAGCTTCAACCCCGGAGGTGGAAGTTGTAGTGAGCCGAGATCGTGCCACTGCACTCCAGCCTGGGCAAGAGCAAGACTCCATCTCAAAAAGAAAAAAAAATCAGCAAACTTTTGACTCCTCCAAAATGTAACTACAAATAGTCCCTACTGTTGATGGGAAGTCTGATAAAATCGATTAACATACATTTTCTATGTAACATGAATTATATAGCATATTCCAATAAAGCTACAGGAAAAAAATTCAGAAAATCATAAATATATTTACTGTAAGCAGATGTAGATTATCATAAAGGTCTTCATCCTGGTTGTCTTCAGATTGAGCAGGCTGAGGAGAAAGAGAAGGGATTGGTCTTGCTGTCTCTGATGGCAGAGGCAGAAGAAAATCTGCGTATGTGGACCCACGAAGTTCAAGTCCCTGTTGTTCGAGGGTTAACTGTACTAGCCTAGCTTAGAGCAGTTAATTTCTAGTTATGTCCTAGAGGCTTTAATTTATGGCTGCAAGACTAGTTTACCCAGAGAGATGGTAATAAAAATCCCTGACTTAAAAGTGGGACTATCATTTAGGCCAAAAGAAAACATTAAAGGCCTGAACTGTTTTCTATTGTTTCATCCCCCAAATACTCCCTGCTATCTTCAAAGTTTGCACTGTTGTGGAAAAAGCGTTCATTAGAACTTCCATTTCCCCAAAAACCAATGATTTAAACAGCAGTTACATTTTCTGGTTTCATTTAACACAATCTCACAGTGCAACAGCATGTTCCTATTGCTTAAGTCGGCAAACCACCCCCCCACACACACACCTTTTCTTTTAGGTTACTATGAGTTAAGAATGGTTTTTATATATTTTCTTTTCTTTTTTTTTTTTTTTTTTTTTTTTGAGACGGAGTTTCACTCGTTACCCAGGCTGGAGTGCAATGGCGCCATCTCGGCTCACCGCAACCTCCGCCTCCTGGGTTCAGGCAATTCTCCTGCCTCAGCCTCCTGAGTAGCTGGGATTACAGGCACGCACCACCATGCCCAGCTAATTTTTTTTTTGTATTTTCAGTAGAGACGGCGTTTCACCATGTTGACCAGGATGGTCTCGATCTCTTGACCTTCCACCCGCCTCGGCCTCCCAAAGTGCTGGGATTACAGGCTTGAGCCACCGAGCCCGGCCGGGTTTTTATATTTTTAAGTAGGAAAAAAGGCAAAAGAAAAATATTTCATGACATTAAAATTACATGAAATTCAAATTTTTTGTCCATAAAATTTTATTAGAACATAATAGTTTACATATTGTTAATGGTTAGTAGTTTACATTATTGGCCGGGCGCGGTGGCCCAAGCCTGTAATCCCAGCACTTTGGGAGGCCGAGGCAGGTGGATCACAAGGTCAAGAGATCGAGACCATCCTGGTCAACATAGTATACCCCGTCTCTACTAAAAATACAAAAAATTAGCTGGGCATGGTGGCACGTGCCTGTAATCCCAGCTACTCAGGAGGCAGAAGAATTGCCTGAACCCAGGAGGCGGAGGTTGTGGTGAGCCGAGATCGTGCCATTGCACTCCAGCCTGGGTAACAAGAGTGAAACTCCTCTCAAAAAAAAAAAAAAAAAAAAAAGTTTACATTATTGTTTACCACTGCTTTTGCAATACAAGCTGAGTAGTTCCGATAGAGAGCATATGGCCCTCAAAGCCTAAAATACTTACTATATAGCCCTTAACAGGAAAAAGTTGTCAATCTTTTTTTTTTTTTTTGAGGTGGAGTTTCTCTCTTCTTGCTTGGGCTGGAGTGCAGCGATGTGACCTCAGCTCACTGCAACCTCCACCTCCTGGGTGCAAGCGATTCTCCTGCCTCAGCCTCCCAAGTAGCTGGGACTACAGGCACGTACCACCATGCCCAGCTAATTTTTTGTATTTCTAGTAGAAACGGTTTCAACATGTTGGCCAGGATGGTCTTGATCTCTTAACCTCATGATCTGCCCACCTGGGCCTCCCAAAGTGCTGGGATTACAGGTGTGAGCCACCAGGCCAACTTTGTCCATCTTTATTACTTTTGCCAGAAATTGATTAATACTCAAAGTCCACTATAAGGTACAGTATCACAAAAGTTGTATTTCAAAGCTTTTGATATGGCAATACACAAAAGCATATGAAAAGTAAATGTTAGGGCAGGTGCAGTGGCTCACACCTGTAATACTAACACTTTGGGAGGCTGAGGTGGGCAGAACACTTGAGTCCAGGGGTTCAAGACCAGCCTGGGAAACATGGCAAAGCTTCGACAACAAAAAAGTAGCTGCACGTGTTAGCACACACCAGTAGTCCCACCTACTCAGGAGGCTGAGGTAGGACTGCTTGAGCCCAGAAGGTGGGTATTGCAGTAAGCCGAGATCATGCCACATACTCCAGCTTGGGTGACAGAGCAAGATCCTGTCTCAAAAAAAAATGTTAAATTATAACTGATTATCACACAGATTAAAATATAGCTGTTTGTAGAGTTGATGTGCATATTTACATCTGGTTAAATATGCAGACTCCCTAGCTTGTGTTTAACACTAAAGGAGTCCTGGCTTTCAGCGTGCAAGCTGAAATTATGCAATGTTATCTTAATCTATGCAAAAATTTATGATTGCTCTGTGACTTTAAAATTTCCTATATTAAAAACTCTCCTGGACAAGCATGATGGCTCGACTGTAATCCAAGCACTATGGGAGGCAGAGGCGGGCATATTGCTTGAGCTCAGGAACTCCAGACTGGCCTGGACAACACGGCAAAACTGTCTCTAATAAAAATACAATAAAAAGTTAGCTGGGTGTGGTGGCACACACTTAATGGTCCCAGCTCCTTGGGGGGCTGAGGTGAGGGGATCGCTTGAGCACAGGAGGCGGAGGTTGCAGTGAGTCGAAATCTCGCTACTGTTCTCCAGCCTTGGTGACAGAATAACACACGGTCTCAAAACAAAACAAACCTCTCCTGCTGTTGGCTATAAATATATATTTTTTTAAGTTGTACTTTTCGGCTGGGCGCGGTGGCTCACACCTGTAATCCAAGCACTTTGGAGGCCAAGGCAGGTGGATCAGCTGAGGTCAGGAGTTCAAGACCAGCCTGACCAACACGGTGAAACCCTGTCAAGAAAAATAAAATAGGCCGAGTGCGGTGGCTCACGCCTGTAATCCCAGCACTTTGGGAGGCCGAGGCAGGTGGATCACGAGGTCAAGAGATCGAGACCATCCTGGTCAACATGGTGAAACC